ATAATACAATTCACCTATTTTATTCCTAGCACTAAAAAGGGAGCAAAATAAAAATGGTAAACATCAGAGAGGATTCCTTTTGTACAATGCGAGAGCGCATATATGTAATATCGTTAGAAAATTGTATGGAAATCGTATATCACTGTTTTTCGAGGCCATAACACTTTTCCTTTTAGATTTGCCACATTTTCTCATTTTGCTGTGGGCTTATTCAGTGGAAAGGCTGCATATTTTGCATTTCTTTTCGCGATGTTTGATCTATTGTATGAATAAAATAAAAGAAAGGGTACGAAGTCGTAAAAAATATCAATGTTAAATCGTTCTATATTGTTTTTTTCGTAAAATAATTACTTTTAGAAGTGTAACGAATATTTTTATCTTCATTCAGATGAAGAAAAAATACTTTATAATTCAGTTTCAAGTTTCAATATAATACAAAATAATCTGATTACAACAGATGTAAGTTATATAAAGAGATTTAGTGCATCTCTCTTTCGATTATACAAATTTCTTGTTATTATATACCGAGTGTAAATAAAATTAATTCTAAAGAATTAATGCATGTAGCGTTGTAAGGAAGCGAAGAAAAATGCCCAAGATATACAGATCAAGTGACTAAAGTTTCAAAGGCCATTTTTTACATACTTAATACCGTTTAATAGAAAAAAAAGTATGGGTTAAGTAAATGGGGTCTAGGGCTTGACCTCGCCAACATTTTTGACCTCGCCTTGTCGTTTCCTAGCCGTCTTTGACGCTGTTTTTTTTTCGAATTTATATATAACTTCAAACACACATTTTTAGGCCACCCTGTATATATAATTCAGCAAAAATATTTTGTTTGTTTTTTCGAAAAAAATGTAGAAACGTTTAATACAAGACTATAATTTTTGATTATGTTGAGAACCAGAACGTAAACATATTTAATTGAATTTTTTAACTGTAAAAGTACAGTTTTTAAGATTATAAAATTTTAATATGATGTTAAATAAATTTTATTCTGAAATTTTAATAAATAAATGAGATAAATAATGTCTATAGCTTTTTGAAAGCTTCATTTCATTGCAAAGAATTTTGGATTTTTCGCCACTGGTAAAAATCTACTAAATAAAATAGTAATACTGTTTTATTAGAAGATACTGTTTATTTGGAGGCACAAAAAGTCATTTTTACTCCGATTAAAACATGCTATTTTTTATTTTGTAGATTCTCTTCTACTTGCAAAAATTCCAGAATTATTTTCAAGAAAAACAAAGAGATACCGTATGATCGAAAAAAACGCTATCCAAGACGGTTGGGGAATGACAGTTCTATGATAATTTTGAAGAGGGTAATCTCTAAAGATAAAATATCTAGACTATCTATAGAAATCTATAGATTATAAATTATTTTTCTCGATTTTTAAACTACTTACACCATTTAAAAATCATTTTTATTCAGTATAAAAATAATTACAACTCCCTTTAGGCCAACTGGCAGTAAGCACCATTAAAAATACAGAAAATAACGTCTAGAGCTTGACCCCGCCAAAATTATCATCGATGGTCATTCCCCAGCCGTCTTTGACGCCGTTTTTTTTTTTCGATCGTATTTTTTTTCTCAGTAGGAACATTCAAAAATAAGATATACAATTTTTTAAAGAAATAATTTCTGTTTTTGTATTTTTTTGTAAAAAAAATTATGTCAGAATTTAATCATACCAAAAGTTAATATTTTATTTTGAGAATTTAACATGGGAAAAAAGGAAAGCACAGCAACAGCATGCAGAAATAAATGAAGAAATTTGCTTACGTAGTCGTGTGATATTTATGTTTTTCGATTGCGTCAAGCACGTGTTTGAGCGAAAATTGGTGAAACCGACGCGAATTGACTGAGGACGACGGGTCGACTGGAATGCCGAAACGTCGCCGGTTGTTTTCAGTTGGTTCCTGCTAAAGCAGAAAGCGTTGTGCGCAACAGGGGAGAATTTTGCGAGTTTTTGATTGAGTTTGTAATTTTTCTTACACCTGAAATCAACACTTATAGTTAAAAATCTTCTATAAAACTTTTGTGTTTTTTTTTAAATACTACTACATGAGTAAAAAAAAATAAAATAATAAAAAAAAAATTAAAAAAAAATAAATAAAATAATAAAAAAAATAATGAGTAAAAAAAAATAATAAAATAAAAAAAAAATTGAGAAAATGAGTAAAGTACTCTTACGCCTAAGCACAAAAATCCGAAAATAATACGACCACCAGCAAACTCCATAAGACGACGCATGATGTCATTGATGACGTGCAACGAAAGTTGTTTTAATTTCCCTTATACATATATTTAATACAATATAAAAAATGTATGTGTTCCACAATAAATATAAAATAAAGTAAAGTAGAAAAAGTTTTTTTTATGTAACACAGAAAATTATTTTCTACTTAATTTTATTAGTATATAGTTGTATAGGCATATTTTTTCTTAACAAAACTAAAAAAAATGTAATATTTTCAAAACTTTGTAAATACTAATATAATATATAGATATAGAGTGTATAATATAAAAAAAAATATTTGTAGAGTAGATATAAAATATGTACATATTTATAAATTTTTATCATGTCTTTGATATTTAGATTGTATAAACGCATTCACCATTTTGTCAAGAATGTTTGATATAGAATTAAGAAAAAAACAAAATATTATTGTAACATGTACTGTATGTTTAATATTATGTTCTTAAAGTTTATTTAGAATTCTGATAAACAATATTATACAAAGTAGAAAAAAATATATGTATCTATTTTGATTCAATTTACTAAAAATACTTTTTAATATCTTTATTTAAAAATAATAAAATCAGTTAAAATGTATTATATAGTATTAATAATTTTTTATGTTATACAAAAATTTATATACTTTTTGAAATTAGTTATATATCTATATATTTTGTAAATACCTCATGATCAAAGAAATCGGGGTCTAGTTGGCTTTGAAATAACAATCGTAGACTTTCCCATATAATTTTAAATATAAAATAACAGCGATCTTCACTTCCAGGCTACCTCTGACGTCTTTTTTTTACCGTATGGTATTATATGCTTTCTAAAGGAAGATTATAATATAATAATTTATATTGTATATCATTGTAAATGAGCTGTTTACTGCACAATTCGATTATGAGATCGTGATATATTCTATATATTCTACCGTATGATCGAATAAAAACGGCGTCAGCGATGGCTATGAAATGAACATCGATGACATGTCCCATATAAATTTACATATAAAATGACAGCGATCTTTATTTCATAGCCATCGCTGACGCCGTTTTTTTTTTCGATCATAAAGTACTGTATTATCGAAAAAGTGGCGTCCAGTTGGCTGGGAAATGACGATCGATGACATTTCCCATATAAATTAACATATAAAATGACAGCGATCTTGATTTCATAGCCATCGCTGACGCCGTTTTTTTTTCGATCATACGGTATTATAGTTTATAGTTAATAAAATGTATAGTTAATATAGTTAATAAATATAATAAATATGTACACATCATGTTAATATTACTACATATTAGTTATATAATAAAAAATGTCTTATTATAAATAATCTTGGTTTATTTTATACCCTTTTCCAAAGAAAGCAACAAATTTAATAATCTACCCTTATTTTTTCCTAGAATCTGAAAATTAATTAATATATAGTGTCTTCTACTACAAAAAAAACACAACTTTGATACATAACTTTTTTGGGACACTCTGTAGAACTCTATATATTTTCTTAAAATTATTTCAGTTAATCTACATAAGCTCCCAAATTTTCATATTAGTACAAACAACAAACAACCCTTCTCCTTGGAGCCTCGTATGATTGGTGCCTCCCTGTATTGTTATTGCTATATACTGAAATTATGTTTGATAATAAAGTTTAAAAAAAAAGATTGAGAAATTAAGAATATGTATCAGGAGCACATAAGAGCGAAGAGGTAAATCACACACTGATTTTACTACTGTTACATTAAATATTAAACGGCGAGTGCAAATGCTTAACTCCTGGTATCGAAATATACCTCCTCGCTCTCATATGTTCCTGATTTTAATTCTCGGTTGGTCACTTTTAGCACAAAGATGTCAAAAATAATTTCCACCTAGCAAATTTTGGAGTACCTGACCAACGAGTTCGAACGAGTTAGATTTTTTCGAAAAACGGCCATAACTTCGAAACTATAAGAGATATCGAGGAACGGAACTCGGCATTCGATCCGCCTTTCAACCCTCTATAAGGGTGCATAATAAGGGCGCGATCGGAGACAAAAAAATATTTTCGGCAAAAATGAAGGAAGGTTAACCCCTTACCTCATTTTTGCCAATAAAATTTTTTTGTCTCCGATCGCACCCTAATTATGCACCCTTATAGAGGGTTGAAAGGCGAATCGAATGCCGAGTTCCGTTCCTCCCTAACCCTTATAGTTTCCGAGATATTAAGGGTTGAAGTTTGGAAACGAGGTCGAAGTGTTAGAGATAGCAGAAATATCGTTGATTAATGCTATATTTATATGTGGTACTAAATTTACGCCTTACCTCTTCACTTTTATGCATTCCTGATAAAAATCGGCGGTTTTTGACCAGTTTTAAAAATTTTCGTGCGGTCTTTATTAAAAATTGAATTTTCTCGGTATGTATCGGGAGCACATAAGAGCGACTAGGTGAATATTGGTTCTCAATTTACTTCTTTATACCTCTTCACACTTATGTGCTCGTGATAGATATCGGTGATTTTGGAAAGGGTTAAAAATTGTCGTTCAATTTTTGTCAAAAGCTGAATTTGCTCGGATTTGTATCAGGAGTACATAAGAGCGAGGAGGTAAATTTGTGTATTATTTTTATCTAAAATACTGTCTATTCCAGAACAAGTGTAAGCATTAAATATATTATTTATTTGATAATTAAATGACTTTCTTCTCCTTGTTCACGATTAGACAATATTTCTAAGAGGTATATTTTAGTTCAATAAAACTCATTTATATTATTAATTATTGTTTATTAACATACTATATTTTATTAACAAGAGTAACTTAAAAGATATAATAAAATACAAGGGGTGTTGATGGACATGCTGATCTCTATGTTGAGGTAAACACGTCTTCTGGCTACCCTTCTGGAAAGTCTTGGCTCTGTAAGAAAATATAAAAAAATAATTAATTATTTGTTCACTAACAAGTTTTATACAGCCAATTGGACGCCGTTTTTTTCGAGATCATACGGTACTTTATGATCGAAAAAAAAACGGCGTCAGCGATTGGCTATGAAATGAAGATCGCAGTAATTTTATATGTAAAATTATATGGGAAATGTCATCGATCGTCATTTCAAAGCTAACTGGACGCCATTTCTTTCGATCATACGGTACTTTATGATCGAAAAAAAAACGGCGTCAGCGATGGCTATGAAATGAAGATCGCAGCCATTTTATATGTAAAATTATGTGGGAAAAGTCAACGATCGTCATTTCAAAGCTAACTGGACGCCATTTTTTTTGATCATACGGTACCTTATGATCGAAAAAAAACGGCGTCAGCGATGGCTATGAAATGAAGATCGCAGTCATTTTATATGTAAAATTATATGGGAAACGTCATCGATGTTCATTTCCCAGCCAACTGGACGCCATTTTTTTCGATCATACGGTACTTTATGATCGAAAAATAAACGGCGTCAGCGATGACTATGAAATAAAGATCGCTGTCATTTTATATAGGAAATGTCATCGATCGTCATTTCCCAGCCAACTGGACGCCATTTTTTCGATCATACGGTACTTTATGATCGAAAAAAAACGGCGTCAGCGATGACTATGAAATGAAGATCGCAGTCATTTTATATGTAAAATTATATGGGAAACGTCATCGATGTTCATTTCCCAGCCAACTGGACGCCATTTTTTTCGATCATACGGTACTTTATGATCAAAAAAAACCGGCGTCAGCGATGACTATGAAATAAAGATCGCTGTCATTTTATATGGGAAATGTCATCGATCGTCATTTCTCAGCCAACTGGACGCCATTTTTTCGATCATACGGTACCTTATGATCGAAAAAAAAACGGCGTCAGCGATGACTATGAAATAAAGATCGCTAATTTTTTATGTATTAGGAAATGTCATCGATCGTCATTTCTCAGCCAACTGGACGCCATTTTTCGATCATACGGTACTTTATGATCGAAAAAAAAAAACGGCGTCAGCGATGACTATGAAATAAAGATCGCTGTCATTTTATATAGGAAATGTCATCGATCGTCATTTCCAGCCAACTGGACGCCATTTTTCGATCATACGGTACTTTATGAGCGAAAAAAAAACGGCGTAAGCGATGACTATGAAATAAAGATCGCTGTCATTTTATATGGGAAATGTCATCGATCGTCATTTCCCAGCCAGCTGGACGCCATTTTTTCGATCATACGGTACCTTATGATCGAAAAAAAAAACGGCGTCAGCGATGACTATGAAATAAAGATCGCTATCCTTTTATATGGGAAATGTCATCGATCGTCATTTCTCAGCCAACTGGACGCCATTTTTTCGATCATACGGTACTTTATGATCGAAAAAAAAACGGCGTCAGCGATGACTATGAAATAAAGATCGCTGTCATTTTATATGGGAAATGTCATCGATCGTCATTTCCCAGCCAACTGGACGCCATTTTTTTCGATCATACGGTACTTTATGATCAAAAAAAAACGGCGTCAGCGATGACTATGAAATAAAGATCGCTGTCATTTTATATGGGAAATGTCATCGATCGTCATTTCTCAGCCAACTGGACGCCATTTTTTCGATCATACGGTACCTTATGATCGAAAAAAAAACGGCGTCAGCGATGACTATGAAATAAAGATCGCTATCCTTTTATATGGGAAATGTCATCGATCGTCATTTCTCAGCCAACTGGACGCCATTTTTTCGATCATACGGTACTTTATGATCGAAAAAAAAACGGCGTCAGCGATGACTATGAAATAAAGATCGCTGTCATTTTATATGGGAAATGTCATCGATCGTCATTTCCCAGCCAACTGGACGCCATTTTTTCGATCATACGGTACTTTATGAGCGAAAAAAAAACGGCGTAAGCGATGACTATGAAATAAAGATCGCTGTCATTTTATATGGGAAATGTCATCGATCGTCATTTCCCAACCAACTGGACGCCATTTTTTCGATCATACGGTACCTAATGATCAAAAAAAAAACGGCGTCAGCGATGACTATGAAATAAAGATCGCTGTCCTTTTATATGGGAAATGTCATCGATGGTCATTTCCCAGCTAACTGGACGCCATTTTTTCGATCATACGGTACCTTATGATCGAAAAAAAACGGCGCCAGCGATGGCTAAGAGATGAAAATCGCTGTCATTTTATATGGGAAATGTCATCGATCGTCATTTCTCAGCCAACTGGACGCCATTTTTTCGATCATACGGTACCTTATGATCGAAAAAAAAACGGCGTCAGCGATGACTATGAAATAAAGATCGCTGTTCTTTTATATGGGAAATGTCATCGATCGTCATTTCCCTGCCAACTGGATGCCATTTTTTCGATCATACGGTACCTTATGATCGAAAAAAAACGGCGTCAGCGATGGCTATAAAATAAAGATGGCAGTCATTTTATATGTAAAATTATACGAGAAATGTCATCGATCGTCATTTCACAGCCAACTTGACGCCATTTTTTTTCGATCATACGGTACTTTATGATCGAAAAAAAAACGGCGTCAGCGATGGCTAAGAGATGAAGATCACTGTCATTTTATATGTAAAATTATATGGGGAACGTCAACGATGTCCATATCCAAAAAAGAAAAATTCTTTATATAGGCAACTCTATATACACATTCAGTGTATTTTTAGTTGCCTACAAAAAAGTAAATTATACGCCAATAATTTTTATTTGAAATTAATCATTTTCATCTACGTTTCACAAAATACAATAATATTAGGTATTTATTAAACAAACTGGAATATATATACCTAAAGTTATTTAGCTTCCTCTTCAATGATGAATTTCATCCTCAATCCACTGTTGAATGTGGAATTTAATCAACCTGATGGCATCTTATTTCTTGTTCCAAAGCAGTACAATACTCCATTCCCAGAACAATACAATTCAATTGCATGAAAATGAGCCATGAAATTCAGTCAAAGGAAAACGACACAAAATTATACAAATGTGAACAGATACGAAGACTTAGTAATACAATCAATGGAAGAGTTTAGAGAATCAATAAATAATGACATTCCCAGAGGGATATGATGAAAAAATGACACGAAAATAAATAAAAATAAGCTATACAAGAAATGTGGCAATACTATCTTAGATTCGTTCTGACATAGAAAAGGATACAAAGTCTGACACAAAAAATTACACAAACAATCAGTACAAAAGTTTATAGAACGGATATTTCCAATAATAAGGAAAATATAAAAAATAAATAATAAAATGCAGGTAAAATGAACTGAAAAATAGCATAAAAATAGGTATTATTCTATAGGGGCAATAGAATTTAAATATGTCTTAGAAACGTCTCAGAAGAATGTCAATAAGAATATAAAAATATGTGTAACAATGATTAAGACAGTTTTATAGAATTGATGAATATTAATATTCAAATAATAAAAAAAATATGGCACAGATAAAAATAGTGAAATAGAGGTAGGCCAAAAGCAAGATGGAGCAAAAAGATTTTAGATGCTATTAAAAAAAAATAATAAAGAGGTATGTAGTCAATAAGATTGACAAAAAGTTATGCTTAGCCACCTCTTAACGAATATCTAGTCAAAATATGACTGAAGCACATAAAGAAAAATCCTCCAGAGCATATCAGTTTGCCCCCCTTCATCAGATTTAACCCTTGGTCGACGATTAAGCCTCACCAGTCAGTTCCCATCCCAGCTAAGCAGCCTCGTCTCGGGTCACCCTCGTCACCCATCGAGCGGACATCCACCGGGACCCCCTACAGGCGGACCCCCCTCATCATCAATGTGTTCGATATCCCGCCCCCTGTCTCTTCGAGGGTCACGGAATACGTGCACGAAGTAGTCTCGTAGCTTGGGTGCCAGGTCGTATACGTCCGAAGCCTCTAGCGTTAGAACACCTAGCTCGTAAATCAGAGGGTGGTGACTCCCTTGGGTACCTATGCATGCTACATAGGTCATTGATGCCCGAGCATCAGGGTTAGGGGGTGACCCGGGTCTCCTCCCCTTAGGGGAAGCTAGTTATGATGCTCTGGAGTCGATGTTACTTACGAAAATACATTGGAAATAATGCTAGAAAAGCCAGAAATATAATCCTGTGCAAGTCAGGTTTTTTAATAAATGGCGAATGCGCCAGGAATTGATGGGAAATTGGTCTTTATTTTGAAATTTGAGTACTAAGTATTAGAAAAATAACTCTATAAAGAAATAATACAAATAAAAAATTAAAATACAGTCAAGGGCATAAAAATACAGTCCACGGAATATTGCATAGAATTAAAAAAATGATGATATTATTCCCACAATGGAGGAAATATGGCAGTCCAGCTAGTATAAATGAAAGTAAACCAAAAACAACATGAAGTAAAATTCTAAGTAGATGGTATTCTACTAAAAGTAAAGAGAAGTGACCAAAAGCCAAAAATTAGCATAAATTTAAAATAGATATAATTATTAGATAATATTTATCAAACGGATAAATGTACTGCCCTGGAACAGTATCGATCCATTGATTTCTTGTACAAAATCTGTAATAAAAGAAATAAAATTTATTACATTTTATTAATAATTTTGCTATAACAACTGTGTTTATATATTTTTGTTTCATATTAAGATTAAATATATCTTAAAAACTATGGTTAGTCTGTTCATAAACATTTAATAAATTTATTAAAATTATTTTTAAATAATAATTTAAAAACTTACTGTTAATTAGATAATAAACAATCAACTTCGTAAACTGGAATGGTAGCTAAATATCAGGGTTATACAAGCGGTGATCCAGGTCTCTTCTTTTGGAAGGTTCAAAATTCCAATTCTTTTGGAAGGTTCGAATGCGCTGGAGTCTGAGGTGTATTATTAATGATGCCCCTAAAAAGAAAATTATAATTAAAGCATTATATATATATTAAAACAATGCAAAATTATGAACTAAAAAATGACGAGAAACTATTTTCTTTTATCTAAAAGTATTATAAATATTGAGAATGGGACCCTTTAGGTATATTTAACACTCACTCGTTCCTAAAGACGTAGAAAGCTTGTTTGACTGTACAAATAAACACGTAAAAACCACATTTAGGAAAAAAATTCAACAAAAAGCATCTTTACCTCTTAACAAAAAAAATAGTTCAAAACATACCAAATATCTCTAAATATTGAGCAATCTTGTTAGTAACTATACGTTTAATATACAATAGGGACCTCAAGGGAAGTATCTCTATTTCCATATACTCGATTTTCAAAAAAGAAAATTATGAAAATAGGAAAAATGTATCAGCTTTAATGATGGTGTAATTGAAATATTTGCAAGTGAAAAAATCTATAGAAAAAAGGCAAAATGCTGGGTACTTACATTTTCAAGAGGTTAAACAGGCCTTAAGGAACCGAATACACTCAAATCGTGTACAGAAAAATCAATTTTTCCATTAAAAAATCAGAAAAATTTTAAGAGCGACATAACAAAACATCTCGACAATACTTTCTCTAGTTCAAAATTTTCTCACTTTTTACCACAGAATAAGAGTAACGTTCTTCTTCTTTTCATATTTATGGATCGATGCATAGCCACCCACAGATTCGACAAAGATTATTTCTTCTTCAATTTTTTTAAGTGGCTTGAACTCATAGAGGTCATTTGGCCAGTGTCCTGAAAAAAATAATCAAAATGAGAAACTCTAAACTATAATCTATGGTTAATTATTAGACAAAGACAACTAAAAAAACAAACAAGTACAGCAATAGTAAATATATAATTCAAAATATTATTATAATTATAAAAATGGACAAAAAACGCTAATTAACTCAATTTTTAAGAGGCAAAAATGAGTTTTAGAAATAAAATACAGTTCTATGATAAATAATTATAAAACAATTCTTGTGAAATCAAGAGAATAAAATATATTTTGACAAGCCCCTTTATTGTCAGTTAATAGTTTAAAATTTCCAGTTAATTTAAATCTATTTTAATGAAATCTAACACTTTAAAATTCCGTGACTTAGATAATATCGTAGATATTTACGCACTGAATCTTCGAGACAACGAAAATGTGTTTGGTTTACAAGCTAAAGAATCTAACCGATTGATATCAAAAACGCTCAGGATTCAAGAAAAAGTATTCACACTATTTTTATTATATCCTACATATACTAATGCCGAATTTTCAGTTAAGGCTCTTACAAGAAAAGATAGAGAATTTAAACAGTTTTCAAAAACAAACCGATTTAATATTGCACCAAGTAAAATGTAATCTTTGTTGTATCGAGGATATGATTGGTAATGCTGAAGCACAATGCCCTAAAATGGAATGTTGTAAACGGATGAAAAACGCTCTTACTGATTTATATAGACAGGACACGTACAAACTCTTATAATACCTACAAAAAGTCTTGAATACTCTAACAGAAGTTATATGTATTATAGGTATAAGTTAGTAGAAAATACTGAGGTGACTATAACAAATTTACAGCAAGGTTTGGATCAGATTTCATACCAAATTCAACAAAATTCTGTAGCGAGTCCTGGTGTAAGACAATTTATTTAACGTTAATATGGTCAATACTGACATAAATTAATATTTTTTGTTTCTAGACTAAGATATATAACAAATCTTTAGTCTCCATTGATTTGTATATATGTATAAGAATAGATTTAGTTGTTTGAAAGTTTTTAATAAAAACGTAATAAAGTTTTCTTTTTAGATAGAAAAAATAGCTGAAATTTTACAAGTTCATTTACAAAACTTGGAAGAAATTGAACAGAATACTGAACAAGTCAAAGCCAAATTGAATGAGGTGGAATATTGGAAGAACTTTTGTTTACATTTGTACAAGTTAAAAGAAATAAAACCTTGGGAATAAGAAAATTGTAGATAAGCTATTTACGTCTTATAAATACTATCCTGTTTTCTTAAATATGCTTATTTTTTGATAGTATAAAACACAGAGCGTTTCTTAAGTAAGGCTTTCATAAAAAAGTTTATAATAAATATACATTTGCTATTATATAGTGTTCTGTTTTATTATTTCTGCAAATGTTGATGTCCTTTAACAAATAATGATGTCCTTTAAGAAATAACTGAATAACATTATTATACACATTTTTATCTGAAAGGTTTATGTAATTCTTGAGAGTGAGGGAGCTACTTTACGTCTACTGACACTCACTTATTCTAAAAGACGTAGAAAATACTTGTTTGCCTGCAGTGGTATAATTCTGAGCATCGTTTGCATACATGTTAAGTGTATTGTTATATGCCTTTCTAGACAGTGCGAGTGATATTTGAAGATGCAAGTGGTCAAGAATAGGTATCCTGTACGAATAATCACCTAAAAATTACCTTTAGTAGTAAAAACATCTTTAAGCTGCACAAAAGAAAAGGACTGAAAAAATACCAAATATTTCTAAATATAAAGCAATCTTCTATAAGTAATTTATTTTTTAATGTACAATAGACACCAAAGAATGTATCTATATTTCCATATACTCGATTTTGAAAAGGAAAATTATGATAATAGTAAAAATATATTAGTTTTTAATGACAATGATGATGGAATTGAAATATCTGAAGCGAAAAAAACTATAGAAAACAGGCAAAATATTGGGTACTTACACTTTCAAGAGGTTAAAAAGGCTTTAAGGAATCGAATACAATTAAATAGTGTACAGAAAAATTACTTTTTTTATTAAAAAAAATCAGAAAAATTCAGAGCAATATAACGAAAACATCAAAACATTCTGATAATATTTTAGTTCACAATTTTCTCACTTTTTCCACAATGGCGCCACCAGCGTTTTTCTTCTCTTCGGTATTTCAGGTCTTAAAAGAACTGTAACCACAGAATCGAAGTAACGTTCTTCTTCTTTTTATATTTATGGTCCGAAGCATAGCCACCCATAGATCAAACATAGATTATTTTCTTGGTCGTATAGTTCTAGCAGCTTAGGCCGTTTAACTAATCAAGAAGAAAAAATATTTCTTCTTTTCTTTTTAAGTGGCATGAACTTATATAAGTCATCTGGCCAGTATCCAGAAAAAAATAATCAAAAAGGGAGAGTCCAAACTATAATCTATGGTTAACTATTAGACAAAGAACAAAAAAATAAAATAAACAAGAACAACAATAGTTTTCCTAATTTTTAAGAAATAAAATGGAATTTTAAGAAAAAAAAAAATACATTTCTATGATGAATCATTACAAAACAAATCTTGTCATACGTATATCAGGAGAATAGATTAATATATTTTTTTAGAAAGGTTCATAATAGTTTTTCTCTATAATAAAATAGAAATCTTACAATTACCGTAAACTCCTAGAGCATCTTCAGATATCCCTCAGGATTAAAACTATATTTGCCAAAAATTCTGTTATGACTCAATTTGGGGATAGGGTTCCCAACCGTCCCGGTTTGGCCGGGATTAACCAGGAATCAGAAAGTTTGTCCCCGCGAAAGTTTTGTCTTGGCCGGGACCTAAAAATCACATTTACACATAATATATTTTAATTTCTAATATTTAATGTTTTGTTTCAATTATTTAAAAGCTTAAAAATAATTGTCCCGGAATCGCCGATGCTCAAGTTGGGAACCCTATTTGGGGATGATGATGGGATGATGATATCAGGGGTAACGAATCTGAAAAAAAAAATTTAAACAAATTATATCTAGTCTAATGGACTAATTAGGATAATATACAACAAATAGGCGCAAAAAATCTACTGCAATATGCAATGAAGAATTGTTGCAGGGGTAGTCAAAATCAAACAAATCGATTTGTTTGCTAGTGAGCATATCAGAACCTAATAACTTTGTTTATATTTACGTAAAATATAAACGCATATATCTGGATATGGTCAAAATTCAAACAGCATAGAGAGTTGTGCTGCATCATCAGTCTAACATCAATATTTGGGTACAAATTAGTAAGGGAATATTGAACATGTTGCAAAATTAAACCATTTAGTGCTTCCTTGTGTTTACAAACTTACACCTCGATAACAAATACCCCTACTAAACTCAAATTATTTAGTGCCATTATTTTCTATGTCAAAATTTAGTGAATAAAGTTAATAGAACTTAATTCAAAAGAAATATTCAGACTGTTTTACTTTAAATGCTACTGTGACATTATTTTTTCTATTTGTATGGCATGTAAAGGTGCGTATTCATTATCCGCAACGAACGAACGAACGAACGAATGTTCGCTAGTGGTATGGACGGGGACCGCACGATAGAACCGCACGAGAAGACCGCACGCATTTCTTCATTCGCGCGCGCCAGTTCAAATCGTCAAGATATTGTTATAAACCTGTTTTTTTTGTTTATATACCGTCATTGAATTATCGCTAAGCAAGTTACTATGGAGCAGTGCATAAGGAGTTTTCGGGCTAGGAAGCGAGAGACCGGAGTTCGAATCTCGGCCGGAACATCACTTTTTATTTTTTTTAAATACTGTTGTATTCTATAGTTTATTTTTGTAGTATAAGAAAAGAACTATTTATTCTGTTATTTTTAATCTCCGTTATAATATAAATTGATTGTTAGTACAATACCTCATTTAATATAAAATAATATTCTACTTTTTGAAATGTATCGGGCCCTAATTGTACCTAAAAGTAATATATTTTTAGTGATATACCATATTGTAAACTATTTAATATTTTAGTCACTTAAAAAGTTAATTTGCATTGAATAATTGCCTACCATTAAAGGAAATTTGAGCTATATAATCCTTGATGGGCATATTCTGGGTATGCAAATACTTCCTTTAAATTTTGGGTGTCGTTCAACCGATTTATTCTCAAAACCAGAAACTTCTACATATAAAAAGAAGCAGAGGTCACTAATTATAATAAACTTCACCCTTGGTATTACTTCCACTAATTATAATAAACTTCACCCTTAGAATTACTTCTATCACAATTACAATACGTTCATCTGCATTGGCATTTTCTACTTTTCGATGGGAAACAATAAACTTCCCAATATTTTTTAAATGATGTAACAATTCCTCTTGTGGTTACTTTTCCATAGATATCCTCAACTCTGTCCTCATGTGAATTCAGAGGCAATGAAAATGAAAATTATTTACCATAAACATCGCAAACTAAAAACCTAATAAACAATTTTATACCGAATATAGAAATAAATTCAGTATTCTTACCTATCGTCCAAATCCATGTTAATAGATAATTATTATTTTTAAATATATTTTTGGAACTGCTGGTTTTAGTAATTATTAAATTAAACGAACTAAAAAGTCTTAAAATAAACAATTCTTAACCATAACCCCAAAAATTGCAGATCTCCTGTCAACTTTCTTTATTTTTTATTTATTCATTATTTTCCTAGTGACGTCACAGGTGGTATGCGCGAACTGAACGAAATTGGAGCCGCTATCGATCGTACCTTGTATTCTTTGTAACATGACGTCTAAACGCCTTTGATGTACCGACTCGAAGCGGATGGTCGAGCGCACGAACGAACGAACGGCCGCATGCCTTCGGTCCCCGTCTAAATATACCGCACTTTCATTCGTTCGTTCGTTCGTTCGTTCGGATAATGAATACGCACCTTAAATCTGAAAGCGCACGCAGGCGAACGCCTTTGGTGTACCGACTCGAAGCGGATGGTCGAGCGCACGACCGAACGAACGGCCGCATGCGTTCGGTCCCCGTCTAAATATACCGCACTTTCATTCGTTCGTTCGTTCGTTCGTTCGTTCGTTCGTTCGGATAATGAATACGCACCTTGAGAGTGCGCCTTTAAAAAACAGAGAACAAAGGAAAATATAACTTTTTTCTAGCTGCAAAAAAAATTCATTTAAAGATATTTTTTTTTTAGTTTCGATCAAAATGGTTATTATGATCTGTCAGCTAACTTCAAATATATCTACCAGAAAGTTAACAAGAAAATAATCTATATTGGACATTCTATGGGAGGCACAGGCATGGGAATATACGCATCAACAAAAAACAAAGAGGCACAACAGTACATAGAACAAGCTATTGTAGTGTGCCCTATTTATCATATCAAGTATCCAAAATTATCCCTGTTTTCAGAATTATCTCCAGTTACGTTGCTGATAGTGGTAAGAAAAAAAACTGTACCAAATTTAAAAAAAAAAACGCTTTTTTATTTTACAGAAAAAATTAAAGAAACTTTTTAAAGAACTTAAAATTAAGGAAATTGTTCATTTTGAATGCTTTATACGAATTCTTTTTTTAGTCCAAGAATATAGGCTTTCAAATACGAAGTTTTGATAAAAACTTGAATTTTTGATATGATGAATTCACCCCCGAGATGGGGTAAAATCTTGGTAAAATAAATAAATAAAATTATTTTTTCAAAATTTCGGAGAAATAGGAAGAACTAGAAAAAACCAAACCTAACCTAACCAAATCAAATTTTACATAGAAATGATCTCTATACTTTTTGGCTCAGATCAAAATTAACCGAGTTATATACTGACTAGAATAAGTTAGAGAATGAGAGTAGAAATTTAAAAAAATACATAAGTTGCAGAAAAATTCATATATTTGACATTTTTATTCAATTTGCTTGGAAAATTATAAATTCCAATTAGGATTTTTTTAAATTCACCCCTAGAAAAGGTGAAAAATATAAATAAAATGTTTTTTTTTCAAATTTTGGAGGAACAGTAAAGACTTTTTTGAATGAATTTTTCTTACAGGAATTGTCGAAATTGGCTAATTATCGAGTACTAGTACCAGAAAACAGTGTGCCTTACTATTTTGTCACTGATTTTTGTATGGGTTCACTAATAAATTTAAAGTTCTGTCTAAAAGTGTGTGATTTGGTATTTGGACCCGTCAAATACGACATAGTAAGTATATATTTTACTAGCGTGTAACCGCGACTTCGTTCGCGTCGAATTAATCATTTCTAATGGTGATGATAAAGCAAAGCAAGAATTTCCATTAACATACAAACTGTATAAAATTTTCTCACATTTTTTTTTTATCTCTTTGGAATTTGACTTTCGAAAAACCCGTTTGCCAAAAATAAGTTTTTTTACGTCAAGCAGTTTATGCAGAAACGGGGTTAATCAATTACCCAACCTTTTGGAACACCCTGTATGACTTTTAAAAAATTTCAAAATATGTAAAAAACAAATAAATTATGCTTGCCCAAGCATTTTCCCGAAAGACTAACCGTTTTTTAAATAATAAATATTGTAATATTTGGGGGGCGTTTTCACCCTCTTGGAATTTGAGATTCGAGAAACCCCTCCTTATCGAACGTTTACACCCCAAAGTCAATCCGTTTGCCAAAAATCAGCTTTAAACGTCAAGCAGTTTAAGCAGAATCGTGATTACTCAATGGTCATATTTTATGAGTTTCGAAAAATCTCTTGCTGGGTCTCTTCTGGCCGCCGGAAGGCGTTGCGTTCACTACTGCGCATCATATCTGTATTCAACATCTTTTTACTACTGCGCATCAAAAATTCGCGCTGTATTTCAGGAACTAAGGATGCTAGGATAAACCTACGTGCAGCATATTTAGTTTCATAAAAAAGTAGCAAAGTAATGTGAAAATCGCGTCATTGTATCTCTACTCATAAAAGAGTAATCCCATAAAACACACAAACGGATAACGGACTAAACAAAATAATAAAAAATAATAATAAAATACAAAACTGTATATATATGTTTATTTCATTATTTCAGGATAGAATTCCTTTTACTTTCAAGGAGTTAAAAAATGGTAATTACAGATCCATAACGCAATATGTTCAGTATGGACGTTCAGGAGAATTCCGAAAATATGATCATGGCATAGTGAAAAATTTGGTTGTGTATAATTCAACTGTTCCACCATCATATAACTTGTCCAATATACTTATTCCTATGACGCTAATCTATGGTGAAACAGATAATATGGCTAACAAAGAGGTATAGATTTTTAAAACACGTTAATATTATTTTTGGAAAATATTTAAGGATTTTTTCAATGTGTTTATGGATCTTCCTGTATAATTATTGACGTTTTGTTACTTTTTCTAGGACGTTATATACGACTACAACAATTTTAAGAAGGATAATTGGGAACTGCATGGTATACCGTACAATCATATTGATTTCCTGTTTAGTAGAAATGTTGTTGACCAGTTTTATCCTTTGTTGTTGAACTCTATCAAAAGGATATGAGAAAAATGATAATATTCATTTTTATTACTACAAATATTATATAAAAAATTGTTAAAATTGACTTTAAATTGTAACTTTACAATAGAAAATTATACACTCTTACTACAATGCAATCAAGACTTTTTTTCCGATCTTCAGAATATCAGTTTCGACATAAAGTTGAAAATTGTGTTAAATAATGACTAAAGACGCTACAAGAACCAATAACACGCAAGACCAAATTGTTCGATTGACGGTTCAAGCAGTAGTGATTTTAAGCAATTCATTTTCTGAAACATACTTTATAATACTGCTGTCAAGCATATCTATCACAGTATTTTTGATCGTGTTATTTTTTTGAAAATTCCACACCTGTAATTTTTAACCAATTATACTCAATATGTACATATGTACAATTTAAAAATAATTTTACAAGATACAGAGTGTCCCAAATAAGTAAAAAATATCAAAGTTGTATTTTTTTAAACGAAACACCCTCTATATTATTACATTTTTAGTTTCTACGATTAAAATAAAGGTAAATTTGATTAAGGTTTATTATACTTAAACCTTACCGTTTTTGAAATATTTTCAATTTTGTGAAATTGCAGTAAAAATTTTAAGGCTTCATTTCTCCAAGGGTATCAAAGTTTTTAATACTAAATATTTACTGAAGTTTATTTACTGATCAGTTATTGTGTTGCAATAATAAAATAATACTACCTTATACAGAGTGTCTAAAAATTTATTTTAAATAATTATTAGCTTCAAACGGCAATAACTTGTTTAATTTAAATGGAACATATTTTACGAGAATCAGATGCACAATTTAATTGTCTATCAAATTATATTATACCATTTTGTATATTTTACGAGAATCAGATGGACAATTTGATTGTCTATCAAATTATAGTATACCATTTTTTACCTATCTCTTTAAGTTTCCGTAGAAAATATATATTATATATTATATATATACTAATATTGTCGATATAATTCGTTTATTTCATTAAAAAATAAAAAAAAACTGTTTAAATATTTGTTAAAGAGGATCAATTAATATGATTCCAGTATTCAAACTGCATTAACTGACTCTTTGCGTTGATTAATAATAATTGTTCCAAATATTAAAAAACTGAATTTTGTATGGGCATTAGACAGTGTGATAAAAAGTAACACCTTAAAAATGATATTTCATTTTTAAAGACTTTAATTTGATAACTTATTATTATATTGATTTCTGACTCAAATCCACATTTATTTATAATAATTTATTAACGAACACAATTAAGTATGTAATGAATTAGTATATGGGCGGAAATAATGGTGTTATATTTAATTAATGGTATACTCTTTTATAAAGATTTAAATAGTTTTCTTTTTGCATACAAATGGGCTAGTAATATTATCGCTTTGCTAAAAACGATAATATTACTAGTCTGTACATTTTGTACATTTGTTGCTTTAAAAACAATCTAAAATGTCAATATTCCATGGATATATTGATAAATGAGGTCTAAATTATAAGAAAATGGATTTTCTACGAAAACTTGAAGGGATAGGAAAAAAATGGTATAATACAATTTGATAGACAATTTAATTGTGCATCTGATTCTCCTAAAATATACAGGGCATTCCATTTAAATTAAAGAAGTTATTGCCGTTTGAAGCTAATAATTATTTAAAATAAATTTTTAGACACTTTGTATAAGGTAGTATTATTTTTATTATTGCAACACAATAACTGATCAATAAATAAACTTCATTAAATATTTAGTATTAAAAACATTGATACCCTTGGAGAAATGAAGCTTTAAAATTTTTAATGCAATTTCACAAAATTGAAAATATTTCAAAAACTGTAAGGTTTAAGTATAATAAACCTTAATCAAATTTACCTTTATTTTAATCATAGAAACTAAAAATGTAATAACATACAGGGTGTTCCATTTAAAAAAATACAACTTTGATATTTTTTATTTATTTGGGGCACTCTGTATCTTGTAAAAATATTTTTAAATTGTAGCTCTAATAGTCCTTCAACGAACCCAAAACTTACAATTTGTCAAAATCTCATCGTTTAGCTACAATACTCCGTGACGTATGTGGTGAACAACCCTGTATATAATATTTAGACACTATTTTATTCACCTTTTTTCCATTTAGCACTTTGAATTTTGAGTAGTTTAGATGCAAATAGTCGTGAACAATTCCAAACAAATTTTCTTTCTTCAAGTAGGAGCCACAATCCTCTATTAATACGGGTAAATCAGTCATCGCACGATGATTGATCATTACATCAGACAATTTCACGCATATTTTGCATGTAGTATGATTTTCAAATTGATTCATTTTTAAAACAAAGAATTTTGTTAGTTTTTCAAGCTGCACAATATTCTTTATTACAACAAAAAAAAAACTAATTACAACAAAAATTACCAGAAATAAGTTTTTAAAAATGTTCTCCTAATTATAAAATAGGTAAAATACAGGAAATTTGGCGGTTTTTCAAAAGATCTGAAATTTTTTGTGAAGTTGAAGGAACACAAAGTTTTTTTAAGGCTCCGTTAAAGAAATTCACTCGAAAACCGGCAACACTGGTCTCAAGAGATTTCCAGGCGGTCACCCGTCCATCCACTCGCATCATCTAACGTCGCTTAACTTGAATGAAAAGAGATACCGTATAAAAATAATTCTACAATTTTTATTTTAAACTTTAAACCGGTTGAGACACGTGTATAAAAATTATCGCCAATTACAATAAAAAAACATATTATATTGTTTTTTTTTCAATATTTTTTTAATAGATTGCAACAACGATGCTGTCCGCCTGTGATAGGTATTAGTATAAATGACGATTTAATCTATTAAAACCGATTAAATATGCAAACATTATCCTTTGATATCGTTTTATTTTTCTGCAACTTGTTTGCATTAATTCGTGAAAATGTTGTTGTGGTGTCGTCTGGGCAGAATACAAGGGTTTGTGATACTTCGGAGGCATATTTTGATCATCCCGAAACAAATAAGAACTGTAGAATTGACAAGGACCTCAATGTTTCAGTGGTAAGTACTTTTAAACTTCTTTGAAACACAGTAGAACTTCACCAATTCGGACAATCCAGTAGTTCAGCATCTCTTACCAACCGGAATTTTGATATTTCTACATCTTTATTTCGGATGCCAACAAAATTCAAAGGCAAATGAACGAAAGTCCGCATTTTTCATGGACGGAGTCTTTTCTTTGTAGCACAGGAGTCAGGAGTATCGTATTTTGCTAAAAAATAGAGCCAGTTAAAAGACTCTTGCTGAAGAAGTGCAAGATTGTATTGCATTGGTTGGATACGTAATATGACCTCCATTTTTTGCTGTTAGGAAATATAGTATTTCAGTATAAAAAATCAGAAATACCAAGAACAAATATAAAAAAATCAAACCATGTACAAAATAAAAATTCCATTTGAAAAAATTGAGTGAGGATTAAAAAAACTTCGACATAAACAATAAATAAATCTTTATTTAGCTAAAAATAAGCTATTCTAATTATCCAATTAATAATTCATGATTTGCTATAACAGATAACAATATAAATATTTACAAATTGCCAGGCGTAATCAGCTTAGTAAATATACACCACTGGAATTTTGCAATCACTGTTTTTTTTCAATTGTTGTAATTTATCTAAACCTGTGTGCGCCTCATATTTTTTTACGGCTTTCGATTTCACCCTTTGTAAAAACTTTTTTATCCTAAATTATTATTTTTAGCAAAATAAAAACACTAAATCACCACAATACACCAAAACACTTTTACATTTACACTGGACGCGCGTTTCGCTAACCATGTTAGCATCATCAGCAGATGATTATAAACTAAAGTACAATCTACAAGTTGAGCGTTTATATACTCGCTCAGTGGGCACCGAGTGGGCGTGGCAAAATCTAGCCAACCTAGTCAGAGCCAACTGAGCGTAACAGTTAGATTTCCGCCACTAGAGTAGTAGGAACAAAGAACTTGAAGGAATTGGACCGTTGACTCTATTCATACTATCTTTACATTTATTAATTCTGATGCTTTCATATGCATCTAATTGCCTGTAATTTGAGACTTGTTTAATTAATTTTAAATTATTAAGATCTATACAATGTTCATTATCAACAATATGTTCGGCAACGCAAGATTTATCCGGTCTCCCATATCTTATCTGAGCTAAATGTTCTTTAAATCTAGTTAATATTGATCTTCTAGTTTGCCCAACATATTTCTGATTACAATCTTTACAAGAAATTTCATAAATACCCGACCTTTCCAGTGGAGGTGTTTTATCTTTGGATTACCTAATAATTGTTGTAATTTATTATTAGCACTATACACAAGTTTATAATTGACATTCTTAAAAATCCTTTTTAGACCACGGGATAACTCTCTATCAAACGGTATCGAAAAATATTTAGACGTATCTTTCTCCACTTGAAAAGTCGAATTTTCAGAAATCATTAACCTATACCTACGTTTTCTAATTAATTTATCAACTAGTAAAGGAGAATATCCATTACACTCAGCTACATTCCTAATGTAATCTCTTTCTATTTCATATCTTTCGTTGGAAAGTGGGAAACTAAGTAACCTATGAACTAAGAAATTTAAACTAGCCATTTTATGTTCAACACTATGATGTGATTCATTAGGAATATATCTGCGTGTGGTCGTATTTTTCCTATAGATATCAAATGCCAGGCAATTATTAGTATTTCTAATAACTAATACATCTAGAAATGGTAATCTGTCGTTGTTCTCAATTTCATGCGTAAATTTAATGGAAGGAAAACGATTATTTAACTTAGAAATAAAATTATCTATAGTGTCTGAATGTGTGTCAAAAACAGCAAAAATATCATCCACATACCTAAACCATACTCTTGGAAAATACCCAAACTGATTCTTAGCCTCCACTTCAAACCTGCTCATGAATAAATTAGCCAAAAATGGAGACAATGGATTACCCATTTCTGTACCTTCCCGCTGTTCAAAAAAGTTGTTATTAAATTGAAAACAATTTTGTTTCATACATAACGATGTAAGCTCAATATATTCACTCACAGTTTTGTTGTCGAGACCATTTGCGTTCAGTAATTCCTTTAAGTAGCCTAAAATATGTGGAATTGGAACACTTGGGAACAACGAAGATACACAAAGGAGACCAAAATTTCACCTTCATGCAATGTTATATCTTTAATTTTGTTAATGAATTCAATATTATTTTTAACTGAGAAAGAAGGTTCATGATCAGGTAAATTTTCGAACTCCCTTGATAACCATTTTGCCAAATTATAAGTCGGAGAACCTACAGCCGAAACAATTGGGCGCATAGACTTGTCCGGCTTATGAATTTTTGGCAAAGCATACAATTTTGGTAATGAGGGATTGGATACTTGCAATTTCCTCTTTAAAGAAAGATCAATAAGGGTGTTACATTCTTTTAGAGTTTTTTTAACGTCTGCTACCATCTTAGACAAAGGATTCTTTTTCAAATTTATGTAGGGGCCATTATCGATTAAGTTGTTAACCTTATCGTAATAGTCTTTTTTATCTAATATAACAACCTTATTTCCCTTATCAGCTTTTAGATAGAAACAATCTTTGTTACGCAAACTCTTGACAATACTGTGCTCCTTGTTAGATTTTAATGATTTACTTAAAACGGTATTTTTTGATAACTGATTTCTACAACTGCAAAAAACTGCAAAAAAGAGCAGTGCGATATTTTTTGGGACTGAACAGTAGAACTCACTGCCAGAATTTCTTTAAAAATTTCAAAATACTGACTCTTCCTTCTTTATTCATTTTTTAATCCATTTGTTTTGTAAATGCTTTGTCGATGAAGCTATTTTGGCTTTTTGTACAATAAAGCGTTATTTATTTATTATTTATCTAAACCTGTGTGCGCCTCATATTTTTTTACGGCTTTCGATTTCACCCTTTGTAAAAACTTTTTTATCCTAAATTATTATTTTTAGAATGAAATAGCCAAAAACCATGGTTTTATTCTGGAGAAACACACGGTTGAAACAGACGATCGTTACCAATTAACCACCTTTAGGTTAAAGAAAATAGACAAAAATTATGGAAACAAAGTTATTTTTCTTCAACATGGATTGATGGCAGATTTTACTAGTTTTATATTTAATGGCAACAATTCCATAGGTAAAAAATAAATAAATAAAATTGTTAAAACAATCAGTTTAAATTATCTGCTGATGATGCTAACATGGTTAACAATTTGACACTTTTGACAGTGTCAATATACAATATTCGTTTTTGTTTCTAGTAAAAACGAGATTACAGTTGAGGGTTGGAACCTTTGGTGTTACACAGCAAAATAGAAACACTAAATCACCACAATACACCAAAAAACTTTTATTTTACACTGGACGCGCGTTTCGCTAACCATGTTAGCATCATCAGCAGATGATTATAAACTAAAGTACAATCTACAAGTTGAACGTTTATATACTCGCTCAGTGGGCACCGAGTGGGCGTGGCAAAATCTAGCCAACCGAGTCAGAGCCAACTGAGCGTAACAGTTAGATTTCCGCCACTAGAGTAGTAGGAACAAAGAACTTGAAGGAATTGGACCGTTGACTCTGTTCATACTATCTTTACATTTATTAATTCTGATGCTTTCATATGCATCTAATTTCCTGTAATTTGAGACTTGTTTAATTAATTTTAAATTATTAAGATCTATACAATGTTCATTATCAACAATATGTTCGGCAACGCAAGATTTATCCGGTCTACCATATCTTATCTGAGCTAAATGTTCTTTACCTAGTTAATATTGATCTTCTAGTTTGCCCAACAAATTTCTGATTACAATCTTTACAAGAAATTTCATAAATACCCGACCTTTCTAGTGGAGGTGTTTTATCTTTTGGATTACCTAATAATTGTTGTAATTTATTATTAGCACTATACACAAGTTTATAATTGACATTCTTAAAAATTCCTTTTAGACCACGGGATAACTCTCTATCTATCAAACGGTATCGAAAAATATTTAGACGTATCTTTCTCCACTTGAAAAGTCGAATTTTCAGAAATCATTAACCTATACCTACGTTTTCTAATTAATTTATCAACTAGTGAAGGAGAATATCCATTACACTCAGCTACATTCCTAATGTAATCTCTTTCTATTTCATATCTTGCGTTGGAAAGTGGGAAACTTAACTAGCCATTTTATGTTCAACACTATGATGTGATTCATTAGGAATATATCTGCGTGGGGTCGTATTTTTCCTATAGATATCAAATTCCAGGCAATTATTAGTATTTCTAATAACTAATACATCTAGAAATGGTAATCTGTCGTTGTTCTCAATTTCATGCGTAAATTACGAGATACAAAAAAAATGTTCCACTCATTGTTTTTTTTTTTGTAAAATAACGCTTCAAACCAATTGCTAAAACAGTTTTTGCATGTTATCTCAAAACAACGTTTTTGAGATAAGACAGGTTTTGCAACTTGGCGTCTCAAGTGAAACATTTTAAACAAACATTTTTCAGCTTTCTTTTTTGGAAATCTCGGATATGACGTATGGTTAGGAAACTACAGAGATACAGAGTATTGCAGTCACAAGTACCTGAAACGAACTGATCCAAAATATTGGGAATTTAGGTATTATTTTTCTTGATTTCTAAGATTATTGTTGCATAAAAGTACTTCATAATGTGTAATACAATACAGAACGAAAAACAACAATTAGAAAATCTGCCCAGTAGGTTCCATATTTTAAATACTCAGTAACTAAAGAATAAATAAATACAAAAAAGTAGACTAGAAACTAGCTTCCAAATGAGTAGAATTTTTAATAAAAAAAATAAACAGTTTTATACATTTTGATAAATTATTTTTTTTTAGTATTGATGATAATGGTTTTTATGATCTGTCAGCTAACTTCAAATATATCTACAAGAAAGTTAACAAGAAAATAATCTATATTGGACATTCTATGGGAGGCACAGGCATGGGCGTATACGCATCATCAAAAAACAAAGAAGCACAAAAATTCATAGAACAAGCTATTGTAGTATGTCCCATTTTTCATATCAAGCATCCAACAGGATCCCTCTTTGGAGAATATTCTCCAATTGCCATGTTGCTAATGGTAAGAAAGAAAATAAAGATCTATAAAAATTCTTTTTAAATTTTCAAAGTTAAATAACTCGGTTATTTTTAATTTATTTTAAAAATGGTGAAGAGAAAAGATGTTCTTTTGACAAGATCCTTAAAATGTCTGCACTTATTTCTGGGACATCCTGTATAGAGATAAGTTGTAGGGTAGACGCACCATTTGTGGCCATTGACCCTGTTGTAGCCACTTCTTTAAAAAATCTTAAAAATTAAGCTTTTTCACGTCATTGTGACAACCGTGCATCTATAATTTTCTAAATGGATATATCCAGCGCCATATTCGATAGAAAATATTCAAATTTGGTGTAAAAGTCGGCCGTTAGATCAAAAAGTAGTAGCACATATTTACTAGATACTGTTTTCTTAACCCATTTCTTAAGGATAGCTTGTTAAGTTGAACTCAAATTATTAACAATAATCTGTATTGGGGTTTAATTTTCAATGATTTTAATAAATATTATACACCTGCAACTATTTTTTAAATTTATTATATTCAAATAATTAATATTTAGGAATTATTTCTATGGCCACAAAAGGTGTAATTAAATTTTAATTATGTTCTACTTGTGGCCAGGTTATGGCCAAAAATGATGCAATCGAAATCTAGTTGTGGCCACATATTATTTAGCTTTATAATATAAAAAAACGACGGACAACATAATATGAAGAACATTTTATTTGTTATTATTCAGCTTTTAGTAAAAGCTGAATATTAGTACCTAAGTATAATAATATCCCAAATACATTTATCGGCCAAGATTACCAATCTGAACATGTATCGTCATCAAGTTTTCCTTCAAATGAGAAAAGGAATAAAGAAAATAATATAGATACAGAACTAAATGGAATAAACATGAACGAATACGATGAAAATAAAAATTATGCGAATTCAAAGAAAGATGATTCATGACCACTAGACCAAACCATGCAGGAAAAGAAGACTAGTAGACATAATTATGAACTTAAGGATAATCCCGGAAAGATGTTAATCTTTAAAAAGAAAGAAGCTACATCTACCATCAGTCATTACCTATGATGAGTGGATTGAATTAATGAAAGGAAAGGAGAAAAAAACAAAAACTGACAATGAAAACTTTACAAAGAAGAAAACAATTAAAATAAAAATTAAAGAAAATAAAGATCTTTCTAGTAGAAATAAAAAAGAGAAACCAAAACCACCTTAAACTTCTGTGACATCTGCTGAATTAAATATAGGAAATTTTATTATTTTAAAGTACCGAAATCAGTTGAATCCAGGTAAAATATTACAAATTGAAAATAGTGAATATTATAGCAAGAATGGTTCAAATCTGCGGCAATTGGAAGTAAAAATGACTTGGTTTAGTACAAACTGAGTGATATAACAATGAAAATTGATGAATCTAAAAAAGTCAATTCAAGAGGCATATATGTGATACCTGAACTAACAAATATTCAAGAATATTCTAATAAATTAGTGTACTTTGTTTATTGTTCCTCACAGTAGTAGTAATATGTACCTAATTTTTATTTAACATTTGTATAACAGACAAAAAGCAAAATAAGGTATTAGGTATCACTTGATTTGTTTTAAGAATTATAGGAATAAACGTTCATGTTATTTTTTGTTAAAAATATAAACAACTTATTTCTGAGACATCCTGTATAGAGATAAGTTGTACGCCTTATTTTGATTCCATACATACGTAATCTACGTAATCGTTCTATGTTCAAGGAATATTGGGACACCCTGTTTACCGTTAATTTATTAATTATTGACATAATTTTTGTTACAGGAATTGTCAAAATTAGCAAATTATCCAGTACTATTGCCAGAAGGCAGTGTGCCATACCGATTTATCAGTGATTTTTGTATGGGTTCACTAAACAAATTGAGATTTTGTCTAATGGTGTTTGGTACAGTGTCTGGACCCATAAAATACGATGCTGTAAGTACATTTTATTGAATAAAATCATAATAATAGTTATTTATGTATCAAGGGAATATATTTTTTGGAATTTTGTTGATATGCTCCCTCCTTGCTCATTTTTTATTCAATCCTTGTTTTAACTGTATATTTTTATCTTATTATTTCAGGATAGAACCCCTTTTGCTTTAAAAGTGTTAAAAAATGGAAATTACAACTCCGTAATGCAGTATATTCAGTTTGGACGTTCAGGAGAATTCCAAAAATTCGATTATGGCAAAAAGAAAAACATGGTTCTGTATAATTCAACTGTTCCACCATCATATAACCTGTCTAATATAAATATTCCTATGACGCTGATCTATGGTCAAACAGATAAACTGGCTAACAAAGAGGTATAGATTTTTAAAACATGTTGATATTGTTTTTGGAAAATATATAAGAATTTTTTCGATGTACTTATGGATCTTCCTGTATAATTATTGACGTTTTATTATTTTTTCTAGGACATTATATACGACTACAACAATTTCAAGAAGGGTAATTGGGAAATATATGGTATTCCATACAATCATATTGATATTCTGTTTAGTAGAGACGTTGTTGACAAGTTTTACCCTTTGTTGTTGAACTCTATCAAAAGGATATGAAAAAAATGACAATATATTTGAGGAGCAGACTTTCTAGATGCATTTTGTCAATTTTTTCGAATTTTGGCAAACACAGAAAAATTGCCACGCTTTTTGCAAGAAACTTACCGAAAAACCGGTATACTTAAAATTGAAAAAAACTGTTGACTGACCTTTAGACATGAGCTTTCTCTTTCTTTTTCTGCTATCATCAACTACATGATCCCCAGTATATACAATACTTACTATATATTAGATAGTCCTATAGATTTTCATTTCTGATATAATAAGGAAGCATTATTATCAGGTTAACTGAAAGCATTTTATAAAAATATATAGAATTATACAGGGTGTCCCCAAAAAATGTTACACATCATAGTTTTGTTTTTTCTAATGGAACACCCTATATATTATTTGATTTTTAGATTCTAGGAAAAAAATAAAGGTAAGTTTTATTAAAGAAGCATATACCAAAAATCTAAGGATTTTGACATATTTCACATTTTGTGAAAATGAAGAGTAAATTTTAAATTCCGATAACAGCTACCTAAATTTTAGTTGACCTTGTATCGCTTGATATTTAGTTACAATAACCATTGTGTGTTAAACCAAATTGAAATTTGACCCGAAAAGTTATACAGGGTGAGACAAAATTAATATGGAACATTAGTCGCCTTTAAAAGCAAGGTACTCCTTTATTTTAAATGGAACACCCAGTATATTTTTCCGGCGTTCAATGGGGAATTTATATATCTTCAAAATATTATTAAGGTTGCCTACCCCTCAGACAAAGATTAATTAGACAGCTATGTTGAAGTAACGTCAGACATATCACAGCCACCTAGATTTTACCAAATAATAAAGATCTACTCAGGTCAAATCATGTAAATGAAAATATCTAGGAAAATCTTTATTTTAGGGTTAGGCAACCTTAATAGTATTTTGAAGAAATATGAATTCTCCATTGAATATCGGAATAATATACTGGGTGTTCCATTTAAAATAAGAGAGTAACATTCTTTTAAAGGTGGCCAATGTTCAATATTAATTTTGTCTCACCCTGTATAACTTTTTGGATCCAGTTTTAATTTGATTTAAAGTACAATAGTTAATTTAACTACATATTAGGCTATAGCGGGTAAATTCCAGTTTTGGGTAGCTTTTATTGTAATTTAAAAATTGTTCTTTATTTCGAGAAAATGTTAAATATATCAAAAACCTTACATTTTATTCGTATACTTCTCTTATAAAACTCACCTTTATTTTTCTCGCAGAATCCGAAAATCAATTAATATACAGGGTGTTCCATTACAAAAAACACAACTTCGATTTGTATTTTTTTTTCTCTATATTTTTAAAAAGTGCTCTGAATTAACCTACAAATGCTCACAAAATTTCATTTCAATACAAACTGTCGTTCTCCTTGGATCCACGCGGCGTATGAGAGGCGCCACCCTGTAGTTTGCAATGCAATCTTTGGTTGAAAATCTTAAAAAACGGACAAAATGCATTTAGAAAATCTGCCTTTTATTTGTTTTAATACTAATTTCGTGTAAAAAATTGTTAAATATTAACTTTAATTGTATTTTTACAATAGAAAATTATACACTTTTACTACAACAACCTAGCAATTGTTTGATTATTATGCTCATATTTTGAATATTAAAATTTCAAAACAAATTATTCTATTTACTTATACCAAGCCAAAACACACCGTTTTTTTTTCCGAAAAATTTGAATAACAAATATGTTCTAATTGGCTTGATTTTTTAAAAATCATATCACATACTTAAATTCAATGTCTTTCAATTACACTGACGTTTGTTTACATATTTAAGTAGACATTAAAACGGCAATTTTATAGAATTAAACGATGTGTACTTTGAAATAAATCAAATCAGAATATATAGGGTGTCCCAGAGTGAATTAAAAATTTGTGTACAATAAAATAGAGGACAGGGGTAACAAAAAAAGGAATACCATTAAGTTTTTGTGTTATATAAAAAAAGATATTGTAAATCAAACATTTTTATTCTTAGTTATTATCAGTCATACAGTTGCACATAAATTAATAGCTGTTGTGTACACCATATACAGGGTTGTTCACCACATACGACACGGAGTATTGTAGCTAAACGATGAGATTTTTACAAATTGTAAGTTTTAGGTTCGATGAAGGACTATTAGAGGTACAATTTAAAAATAATTTTACAAGATACAGAGTGTCCCAAATAAGTAAAAAATATCAAAGTTGTATTTTTTTAAATGGAACAGCCCGTATATTATTACATTTTTAGTTTCTACGATTAAAATAAAGGTAAATTTGATTAAGGTTTATTATACTTAAAACTTACCGTTTTTGAAATATTTTCAATTTGTGAAATTGCAGTAAACATTTTAAGGCTTCATTTCTCCAAGTTTTAATACTAAATATTTACTGAAGTTTATTTACTGATCAGTTATTGTGGTAGCAATAAAAATAATACTACCTTATACAGAGTGTCTAAAAATTTATTTTAAATAATTATTAGCTTCAAACGGCAATAACTTGTTTAATTTAAATGGAACACCCTGTATATTTTACGAGAATCAGATGCACAATTAAATTGTCTATCAAATTATATTATACCATTTTTTACCTATCTCTTTAAGTTTCCGTAGAAAATGTACTTTCTTGTAATTTAGAACTTATTTATCAATATACCCATGGACTATTGACATTTTAGATTATTTTTAAAGATGTACCAATTTTTTAAAGAGTACAGATACTAATATTGTCGATATAATTCGTTTATTTCATTAAAAATAAAAAAAACTGTTTAAATATTTGTTAAAGAGGATCAATTAATATGATTCCAGTATTCAAACTACATTAACTGACTGTTTGCGTTGATTAATAATAATTGCTCCAAATACTAAAAACTGAATTTTGTACTTAAAATGATATTTCATTTTTTTGGAAATGCTTATTTATAACAACAGAGACTTTAATTTGATAACTTATTATTATATTGATTTCTGACTCAAATCCACATTTATTTATAATAATTTATTAACGAACACACCCTTAAGTATGTAATTAATTAGTATATGGGCGGAAATAATGGTGTTATATTTAATTAATGGTATACTCTTTTATAAAGATTTAAATAGTTTTCTTTTGCATACACGTGGCTAGTAATATTATCGTTTTGCTAAAAGGATATGTATTACTAATCTGTACATTTTGTACATTTGTTGCTTTAAAAACAATCTAAAATGTCAATATTCCATGGATATATTGATAAATGAGGTCTAAATTATAAGAAAATGCATTTTCTACGAAAACTTGAAGGGATAGGTAAAAATGGTTTAATACAATTTGATAGACAATTTAATTGTGCATCTGATTCTCCTAAAATATATAGGCATATTCCATTTAAATTAAAGAAGTTATTGCCGTTTGAAATCTAATAATTATTTAAAATACATTTTTTTACACTCTGTATAAGGTGAGTATTATTTTTATTATTGCAACACAATAAGTGATCAATAAATAAACTTCATTAAATATTATAGTATTAAAAACATTGATACCCTTGGAGAAATGAAGCTTTTACGAATTTTTACTGCAATTTCACAAAATTGAAAATATTTCAAAAACGGTAAGGTTTAAGTATAATAAACCTTAATCAAATTTACCTTTATTTTAATCGTAGAAACTAAAAATGTAATAATATACAGGGTGTTCCATTTAAAAAAATACAACTTTGATATTTTTTATTTATTTGGGACACTCTGTATCTTGTAAAAATATTTTAAAATTGTAGCTCTAATAGTCCTTCAACGAACCCCAAACTTACAATTTGTTAAAATATCATCGTTTAGCCACAATACTCCGTGTCGTATGTGGTGAACAACCCTGTATATAAAAAAGTTTTCTTCCTAGTAGTTACCTCGAATAAATAATTCATTAATAATTAATATATTTACAATTATTTTCCTTATTTACTATGAATCTGAAATTATTTAATGAAGTGTGCTAGTGAAAATATCAGTATTCTAGATTTAAATTTGTTAGTAGAAATATGACGTTTTTTATTAATAGTTTACTGGCATTTATGTTAGTATTTAGTTTATTTCCTTATAATAGTTCAGGTAGAGGGTTTAATAAAGTGTGTAGTTCCTACGAGGCTTATTTCGATCACCCGGATATAAATCCGCAGTGCTGGGAGGATAAGGATCTGTATGCTACTCCAGTAAGTACCAAAAAATAATAATTATTATACAGGGTTGTTCACCACATACGACACGGAGTATTGTAGCTAAACGATTAGATTTTTACAAATTCTAAGTTCTGGGTTCGTTGAAGGACTATTAGGGCTACAATTTAAAAATAATTTTACAAGATACAGAGCGTCCCAAATAAATAAAAAATAACAAAGTTGTATTTTTTTAAATGGAACACCCTGTATATTATTACATTTTTAGTTTCTACGATTAAAATAAAAGTCAATTTGATAAAGGTTTATTACACTTAAACTTTACCCTTTTTGAAATATTTTCAATTTTGTGAAATTGCAGTCAAAATTTTAAGGCTTCATTTCTCCAAGGGTATAATAAATACCGAAAAATATTTACTGAAGCTTATTTATTGATCAGTTATTGTGTTGCAATAATAAAAATTATACTAACTTATACAGAGTGTCTAAAATTTTATTTTAAATAATTACTAGCTTTAAACGGGAATAACTTGTTTAATTTAAATGGAACATACTATATATTTTATGAGAATCAGATGCGCAATTTAATTGTCTATCAAATTGTATTATACCATTTTTTATCTCTCTCTTCAACTTTCCGTAGAAAATGCATTTTCTTGTAATTTAAAACTCATTTATCAATATACCCATGGACTATTGACATTTTAGATTATTTTTAAAGATGTACCAAATTTTTAGTAGTTATAATTGGAGTACAGATACTAATATTGTCGATACAGTTTGTTTATTTCATTAAAAAATTAAAAAACTGTTTAAATATTTGTTAAAGAGGACCAATTAATATGATTTCAGTATTCAAACTACATTAATTGACTGTTTGCGTTGATTAATAATAATTGCTCCAAATACTAAAAAACTGAATTTTGTATGTGTATTAGACAGTGTGGTAAAAAGTAACACCTTAAAAATGATATTTAATTTTTTGACAAATGCTTATTTATAACACGAGAGACCGAGCGAGGGACATTCATTTTTATAACTTATTATTATATGGATTTCTGATACAAATCCACATTTATTTAGAATAATTTATTAACGAACATAATTATTAAGCATGTAATTAATTAGCATATGGGCGGAAATAATATTGGTATATTTAATTAATGGTATACCCTTTTAAAATTATTTAAATAGTTTTCTTTTTGCATACAAATGGGCTAGTAATATTATCATTTTGCTATAAACGATAATATTACTAGCTTGTACATTTTGTACATCTGCCTCTTTAAAAACAATCTAAAATGTCAATATTCCATGGGTATATTGATAAATGAAGTTTAAATTATAAGAAAATGCATTTTCTACGAAAACTTGAAGGGATAGGTAAAAAATGGTATAATACAATTTGATAGACAATTAAATTGCGCATCTGATTCTCCTAAAATATACAGGGCGTTCCATTTAAATTAAACAAGTTATTGCCGTTTAAAGCTAGAAATAATTTAAAATAAATTTTTAGACACCCTGTATGAGGTAGAATTATTTTTATTATTGCAACACAATAACTGACCAATAAATAGACTTCAGTAAATATTTAGTATTAAAAACTTTGATACCCTTCGAGAAATGAAGCCTTAAAATTTTTACTGCAATTTCACAAAAATGAAAATATTTCAAAAACGGTAAGGTTTAAGTGTAATAAACCTTAATCAAATTTACCTTTATTATAATCGTAGAAACTAAAAACTTAATAATATATAGGGTGTTCCATTTAAAAAAATACAACTTTGATATTTTTTATTTATTTGGGACACTTTGTATCTTGTAAAAATATTTTTAAATTGTACCTCTAATAGTCCCTCAACGAGCCCAAAACTTACAATTTGTAAAAATCTAATCATTTAGCTACAATACTCCGTGTCGTATGTGGTGAACAACCCTGTATACAGGGTGGCCCGAACTGTGTTCAGGAAACTTCGACAGCATATTCTGCAGATAAAAATATTTAAAAATGTTCGTATAAACGTATCTCCTAAAATGCTTAGTTTCAGTAATACAGGGTGCAGAAGTTTCACTTTTCTACACCCTGTATCTCCAAAACTAAGCATTTTAGGACATACATTTATAACCTAACCTAACCCTGTATATTTTTAAATACTCTGTGTACTAAAAACCTACACAAAATTATATCGAATTTTAAGACAGAGTTATTGGTATTTAAAGTCTGAGCAAGATATCCTTTGACATGTTATAGGAACAACTAGCAAGGAACCATGACCTAATTCTGGAAAGACACACGGTCAAAACTGAAGACCTGTATATGTTGACCACGTTTAGACTGAAAAAACTTGACGGGAGATATGGCGAGACGGTTATTTTTCTGCAACACGGCTTGGCGTCCAACTCCAGATGCTTCATGCACAACGGCAATAATTCCATGGGTAATAAAATTTTATAACTCTATAACACACGGTAGTAAAGTTAATATTATACGTTTTAATAGCTTATAATTATCTATACGACATGGTCGTTATTATCAGGAAAACGGTTTTCGATCTAGGTATAATTTGAACTATATATACTGGGTGTCTTTATTAGTATTAGTAGTAAGTTTTTTTATTTTTTTTTAACAACATACCAAGTCTCGTTTTTTTATCTATTACCTATTACAGTAATAGAACTTTAATAAGAAATATTGACTTATTTTTACAGCATTTGTGTTGGCTCATCAAGGGTTTGATGTATGGTTAGGAAATTACAGAGATACTGAATTTTGTTCCCATGAATTTCTATCCAGGGCAGATTTTGAATATTGGAATTTCAGGTTTGTTTAATTAGAGTTTCCAAACCTTAGACCATATAACGACTAGACGCGTGATTTGAATAATCAACTTGTAACCAACATGAATCAATATTTTACGTCATATAAGGGCGAAAATAATAGAATTTTCTCTAACATAAAAATAACTATGGTCTGTAAGATTACAAGTAAAGTCATAGATTGTATAAAAGATGGACTAACCAACTTAAACAAGCAAAATACCCCCCCAGTGGTGTACTAAAATAATCCATAAAAATACACAATATTTTTGTAGTTTTGACGAGAATGGTTTGTACGACCTACCCGCCAACTTCGAATATGTCTATCAAAAAACCAACAAGAAAATCATCTATATCGGTCATTCTATGGGTGGTACCGGTATGGGAATATACAGTTCCGTCAAGAGTAACGAAGCTGAGAAGTATATTCAACACGCCATCTTGATTGCTCCGGTTTTTTACATGAAGAATCCTTTGGGATTGCTTAGGAGCTATTCAGATTTGGGCTTGTTTCTGAGCGTAAGACAAAAGAAATTACTCCAATTTTTTTTAGTGTTGTACAGGGCGTCTCTTCAAACATATTTTCTCTTTACCGTTTTTGAAATAAGTCTAAAATAACGGAGTTATTTTACTTTGAAAATTTAAAAAAATATAAACTCACCGGCAAAAAAAAACGGCCACTAAAAACTAGTCCCAAAGACATTATAAATATAGACCGAACATCTCATTCATAAATACTCGTTGGTAGTGTATCAAACATTCCAATGTGTCAAACAAGGACAGAAGAGACAGAGAAGTCTAAAATTTCCGACCCCGGCAACTAGGCGCATTTGGATTGTTCTAATGGCCAGTGGCGTATCGTTTTTTGGAACGAATTTAATTAGTAAAGTAATTAGTAAAATGTTTACTCCATATTAATATACTACATTAACACTTTTTCGTCAGACACTTTTAACACTTTTTTGTTATAAGGTCTAATATAATAATATAATTAATAGTTATGTTGAAACGTTAGTAGGTAGTTTTCGAAAATCGCTCCAACGTCGATTTTCAATTTAAACTTTCAGTTAATTCTATATAAATTTTCAGTTACTTTTGAATATTTACAGGGTGACTCAGGCTACCGAAACAGTTCTATATTAGGTTTGTGGTTGGTGACTTTTCTTTCAATTTTTTTTCAGAATATGGAGGCAATGGTAAAGCACATTTAGACATTTTGTAAACATAGGATGGCCGGAACATATTTTCAAACTAAAGTTGTAGATTTGCCATTAAATTTCCATTCCAGAAATACCTAGGGTTGCCACCTGTCCTTTTTTGGACTAACTTGTTCTTTTGACTTTTTTTGACTTAAAAATTCATTTTTATTTACGTATTTTCACTGAGAAAATTACCTACAGCAAACAGAAATATTATTTTCGTCCAAATTTAATTTATAGATATAACATCTCTATTATAAAACTTAAAAATAAATTTTTCTTGTTTAGAATAGGCAACATTATTTAGAACTTCCCGTTTAATCTCAAATGATAATTTAGGTTTTAGTTTTACCTTTTTGATCTTAAAAGAACTTTTTAAAATTAGTAATTAGTAACGATTTAGTTAGTTCGCAATCGATAGCTTCCCTGTAAAGTACTGTGTAATAGTTTAATCTTGTATTATTAATAACTTCCTATACCTAAAATCAATATTTAATGAGAAAATTGTGTTTTTGAAAATATAAGACAAGATTTGACTTTCGGTCTTCTTCTTGTATTACGATGGCTCTGATACGAGGCAATTACCTTTATAGTCTCTCAATAGAAGGCATTTATCATTAAAAGTATCAAATCTGTGTGCTAGCAGTATGGGATTTCTGTCGCATAATAATATTACGTTTATTTACAAATCCATTACTTTTTAAAGGTAGCTTCATCAGACAATCAAATTTTAGTTAAATGTCCCAATCTTCATGAACTGTATTAAGCATATGTATTGCGGTTTGAATCACCCGAGAATCACCCTGTATGTTGACAAAATATTTTGAAAATGTGCGTTACAATGGCCCCCATCTTATGTGTAAAAATTGAAATAAAAACTTACAAACCAAAACGTAATAGGTAAAAAGCTTTTTGGAGGCCTGGGTCACTTGTATATAGGTATGTATAAAACTAGTAGCCTAAGAATTATTTACAGTTCGGCCCATTCTAAAAAAGGTAAACACACCGTACAAATAACTCTAGGAAGAGGTATTTGTACGGTGGTAAAAATTGTTTAAACGAGGCCGAAGGGGCAGATATAATAATGTAATAAAATGTAAAAAGGGCGGGTAAACACCTTTGTTTATTTGTTGAGCAAAATTCCTTTAGAATATCGTATATAATGACCAAAATATGACGCAATTTTAAGAAAAAAAATGTCACTTTCTGGCTTATAATAAAGTTTCAAATGCAACGTTTATATTCAAATTTGTTATGATCTACAACACTTAAGTAGTAATTGAGACGAATTATAATTCAATTACCGGCTACTACGTTCTTGTTTTAATACCTCAAAATTCAACAAATATTATTAGAAATTATTTTAATTGTGAGAGGCTCCCTTGTGGAACGCCTATGTACGGCGATTACGGCGCGGCGGAAACAATACCTACCTGTGAAAAGACAAATTCGGGTAATTTGAGCTTATTTTTACACACATTTGACACTGTCGTACCATATTGAAAATTCGCAGATTCAAAAGTACGTTAAAAAAGCAAAAACTACTGAAAAACACTGAAAAGTTCACTTCGGACTTGATTCCGACTTCAAACACACCGTAAGCTAAACGTAGTACGCTATAACGGACTATGGGCCGTCATAGGGGTGGGACGGACGGCTCATTTCATTCTGGAAGACTCAGCAGCGACGTTGCCAATAGTTCTAGACGTTTCCAGCACATTAAACAGTAAACATGTCCTTTAATAGTAACGCCAATATCCCTGATTAATAAATATATTATTACGCATGCTTTTTAAAAGTAAACTATTAATTTATTGATATCCGCACTGCAAATCAAACTAAGTAGATAGGCGCAAATTTGAGATGTGGCACATATAACCACGCACTATGTCATTCCAGCAAGCGAATACGACACAGCATAGGTTTCCGGACTAAACGACTGGTGTATTTACACCACTCAATAGGCGTGTCGGGTTTGCCGAGCGGTTTCCGATGCAGTCGCTTTCTTTCGCATCTGTTATAGGTAATTTTATTTGTGACATCGTCGAGCACGCCTGCAGTTTGCGCGTTTACATGTGAATTGGTTTGGTTGCGGTTTTGCCTGCAAAGCATTTTTCCGAGACGTTCGTTTTAAAGCAGCATATCTCCAATACGAACAGAGATAATGTCGTGATTAAAAGAAGAAAATGCTCACAAAAGACGAGGCTACAATGTGATTTGATTTAGCAATAGCTGCTACAGCTGCTGCACCCTACAGGGTGTCACGAAGTTATGGTCAAAATAAATTCGGAATAAAAATTTCTGAAGTAGCATCTGTTAAGAAGGAATTAATTTACAACTTAAAAAAAAATCATCAAAATCTATCGAGTGGTTCGCTGGAAATCCAACTCTGAAATTGGGACTAGTTTTTAGTGGCTGTTTTTTTTTGCCAGTGTATATTTTTTGCTAAAATTTTGAGAACCACTGGATCTTTTCTAGGTTTTCTTCTTGTAAATTTAATCTACTACCTATCTTGTCATATTATCTAGAAATTATGTTCTTTGACTAAAAATTCCCATTTTTTTTTTAAAAATTCATAATTTTCAATTTTTTTTTCTTGAAAGACAACCTCCTTAAGATTTATTTAAGACTCGCCCTGTATATATCGATTATTCGTTGTTTAGTTAAGACTTCAATTTTTTAATTTTAGAACGTTTTAAAAGATGTCAGCGTGCCTGTAGTGTTGACACCAAACACTTTGGAATACCAAGCCATAGTAGAATTCTGTTTTTCTTCATTACAGAATGCCAAAATGTGTTTGGCTGTTGTGGAAGAATTTATGGGACCCTCTCAATACAACATTGATCCGGTAAGATACTATACAGTGTGTCCCATTTTCTATGCCCAATTTGATCGCAAATATTAGCCACTTTTTCAGGAAACTTACCATATTCCTTAGTCAAAATTGTGGTATAGCTATGAAAATATAGTTTATATTAATAACTGTGAGTAGGTATAGGAGCACATGAGCTAGACAGCAGACTTTTAACAGAATTTGCTGTCTGCTTTATTGTTTTTGTTTGTTTTACTGTTTTTACTGTTTGCTTCATACTTTTTGGCATCTCTTTTATTGTTTTCCTTTCTTTTGCAGTTTTTGCCATCTGTATTACTGTGTTGGCTCTCTATTTATAGAGTTATAAAATCTGATAGCATAAAACCAATAAAACAGATAGCAAAAATAGTAAAGCAGACGTCGAAAAATATGAAGCAGACTGTAAAAAGGTAAAAAAAAACAGTAAAACAGACAGCAAAATCAGTGAAAGTCTGCTGTCTGGCTCAAGTGTCTCCATACGTACTTTCCCCATTTTTCCTACACAGTCGTTGTTTGCTTAAAACCTTATAATTTGGTCTCAATGAATCTTCTAGTTCAAAAAAATATAGAACGTAAAGCCTGTTAAATGCTAGAACAAAACAAATGCTAATAATTCACAGGTTGTCAAATACAAGATGGTATTTCACTAAAATTACTCTATAAACATATATATTCTAAACTAAATGAAAAACTGTACTGTATTTTTCTTTATAGGATAGATTCTACTTTGGTGTAAAGATCTTTAGTTACAGCTGTGTCAATTCCTTGACGCACTACATTCAGTTTGCGCACTCTGGAGAGTTCCAGATGTTTGATTTTGGAGACATGGGAAATTTGATGAGGTACCACTCCTTACGACCACCAAAATACAATTTGAGTGACGTTACCATTCCCATGACTTTAATCTATGGAGAAACAGATTACCTGGGCACCAAAGAGGTAATTTTACATAATATACATGTTATAATTGTCTAAAATACTATTTTGTCCTATACGATCGAAAAAAAACGGCGTCAAAGAAGGCTGGGGAATGACAATCGATGATAAAATTGTGCGAGGTCATTCCTTCTTCTTCTTCTTCTTTCTCAGCCTGGTTCCATCCAGTGTTGGATATAGGCCTCTTCTAGGTTTTTCCATGCTTCGCGATCTCTAGCCAATCTTATCCATTGTCTTCCCGCCACTGCCCTGACGTCATCGACCCATTGGTCGGCCCACACTTCTTGTTGTTTCCCTAGGTCTCCATAGGATTACTTTTTGGGGCCATCGGTCTGAATCCTGTCTTGCCACATGTCCTATCCATTGCCACTTCAGACTTGCCACTCTTTTAACGACATCTATTAATTTTGTTTTTTGACGTATGTGGGTATTCCGTATTTTTTTCTCTAATATTGACTCCCAACATGATTCTTTCCATGGCTCTTTGTGCTACTCGTATTTGTTCTGCTGTTTTTCGAGTAATTGACATAGTCTCTAAGCCATACGTAAGCACAGGTAGAATGCAGCTGTCGTAAGCTTTTTTCTTTAGGTTCATGGGCACCTTTTTATCCTTGAAAATATTGCTCATATTTCCAAATGCTACCCATGCCAAATGGATCCTGCGTTTGATCTCCGTATTTTGGTTTTCCTTGCCCAGCTTGATTTTATGACCTAAATATATATATAATGGTCTACGTTTTCAATAATAACGTTGTCAACGGTAATGTTATGGATATTGTTGCTCATTATCTTGGTCTTTTTCAAATTCATTTTAAAGCCAATTTTCTGGGATTGGTCATTTAGCTCATTTAGCATGGTGTTTAGTTCTTGAATGTCGGTGCTCAGCAAGACAATATCGTCTGCGAACCTCAGATGGCTAAGGTGTACCCCATCGATGTTTAGACCTCTATTTTCCCATTCTAATTTCTTGAAGACATTTTCCAGTGCCAGTGTAAATAACTTGGGAGAGATGGTATCTCCTTGTCTCACGCCCTTGCCGAGTAGTATTTTTTCTGTTTTGAGATCATCATCTAATTTAACTTGGAAGGTTGCACAAATCAATTCTCGCGTCCTCCATTGCAGCTAGAAATGACCAGGTTCGATGCTGTCAAAGGCTTTTTGGTAGTCTACAAAGGCCAAATGTAGAGGTATATTGTATTCTGTTGTTTTTTCAATGACTGTTTTAATTGTTTGTAGATGATCGAGATGGTACTAAAACCTTTTCGAAAGCCTGCCTGTTCTATTGGCTGATAGGAATCTAGTTTCGTAGACAGTCGGTTGTTGATAATCCTAGTGAAGAGATGTGAGAGAAGGCTTATTGGTCTATAATTCTCTATATTTGTAAAATCTCCTTTTTTGTATAATAGCACAACTTCTGCGTTTTTCCATGCGTCCGGGATTCTACCCTCCATCAGACATTTATTTAACGTCATTCCTTAGACGTCTTTTATTTAGCCCGCACTCCTTATTTTTAATGGCGCTTAATTTTTAGTAAATGACATCTAGAGATTGTCCTCTGAACAAACATTATCATCGGTTGTCATCCCTCAGCTGTCTTTGACGCCGTTTTTTTCGATCATACGGTATTTATATTAAAAATAACGTCTCTTAAGTAAATGTATAAATAAAATGATTGATACAAGTTTTGAGAAATGTTTACAAAAGTAATGCTTCTTTTTTTAGGATGTATTGTATGCCTACAACACGTATAAGAAAAGCATCTGGGAGACATACAGTATGCCATACAACCACGCTTATTTTTTAATAAATAAAGATGTTGTCACGACATTATACCCTAACCTCATGCGGTCAATAAATAAATTTAATAAAAAGTATGTTCTAGGGTCGTTTTATTTGCAAATTGATAAATAAGTTAGAAAAATCAATAAACAAAGTGTTAAGAAAGTTATGTAGAAGATTCAATGATATAATTTTAAAATAAAAAAATACTATTTTTTAGTACCTACTTTGATGGATCATGTTGTGTCCATTATCAGAAAAAAAGTACTTCCTACCTACTGTTCCATTTTTCTGACATTTTTATTTGTTTTAACGAATAAATTTATTTTTTAATACAATCAGGGTCTTCCACAAATACATAATTACCTATTTTACATAATTTGTCGATAATAATTATAAAGTTAATTATTTTATCATTGCTCGTATTTAAATTGCAATAAATTCGTCAAAATTGACGTTATAATTATACGTTTTATGGTTATGATATTGGCAGTTAATTATAAATCAAAATATACATAAATAGAAAAAAAAAATACGAAAAATATTATCTTCTGCTTTCTAAATAAAATTTTTGATATAAAATTAAAAGAAAATATATATTCAGTAATATACAGGGTCTATAATAGTGCCTCGGGTATCTGTAGCTGCTAGAATAAAAAACATGAAAATTTAGTTTCAGTTTTTTTTTTGTTTTCAGGAAAATATATAACTTCTATTGGGCGGCTCAAAAAAGTGCGAATGGATCGGGATGATTTTTTTAAATGGAACAACCTGTATATTATTGCATTTTTGGCTTCCTTTCAGATCACTTTAAATAATCCTAAGATATGAGTAAATATATTTTGATAGTTTCAGAGATATTAATAAATAAATAAAAAAGTATATACAGGGTGAGTTTCCTACGATGTTCTCTATGGGTATCTCGGAAACTACTGGAGATAGAGAGTCGGTTAAATGGGGAAAGAATTGCAGTTTTGTGGGGTCATAAATATTCGCCTTTCAGATTTTTAAAAAGTTCATGGCTTACTAGATATTTCGAAAAAAACAAATTTCGGCTATTTTAAAAATTGTCTTTAATTCCATTATAAGCTATTTTAGACAAAAAGTTTTCAGATAAAAGTTGTAGATAATCACATCTTTAATAAGACCGTGTCCTCCGTTTTTTTCTAAAACCTGTCATTTTTGATATATGACACAAACATATGTTTTTTTAAATGGAAACCATAGTTGGTCATGACTTCATAAAAAGCGCCATTTTTAAGCTTTTTAGCGATATAAGCTATAATATGTTTTCTTCGATAAATTACTGAGTTATAGCCAATTCTTATCATTTTTAAACAAATTCACTTAGTTAGCCATGGAAACAAGTTTAATCGTCTTTGCTCTCATAAATGTGAAGCTGTCACATCCAATCTTTGTAAATTAAAATAAACAAAAATTGTAAATATGAATTTTTCAAATGAAGAAAAGCGTAAACTGCAATTCTTTCCCCATTTAACCGACTCTCTATCTCCAGTAGTTTCCGAGATACCCATAGAGAACATCGTAGGAAACTCACCCTGTATTTGTCAACCTTCCCTAAAATTTTTTTTACAAATACAAAACCTGTCTTGAAATCAACACTATATTAGGTATTTACTTTAAATGGTCTATACTTACTTAGCTATAAATATTGTAATCTTAAATCATACAGGGTGTTCAAAAGGAGTTAAAATATGAACATTGTAAGTATTTCAAAATTTTTTAATAGGTTTTCAACTTTTTTATTCTAGGACTTACAGATGCCCGACTCACTATTGCCGAACCCTGTATTATTAATAGCTTGTAAAATTTTAGCGTATGTTTTAAATGCATTTTCAACAGTAAAAAAGCAATAAAATCGTTTTTTTTATTACTACACCTTTAAAGTTATATATTTTTTTTATTTTTCAAATATATTTTTATTTCATATACCAAATTATTATAAACTCATTTTTTTTAGAGGCATATTGAAGTAAAAATATGTCAGGAAACCTAAGTTTATACGGTATATTGTGTTTTTCAATTAGTTATAGTTTAAGTGATGAAAAAAATAAAGTATGTGATACATTGGAGGCATATTTTGATTATTCTGTCAAAAATAACCATTGCAAAAGTATCCTGGATGTAAACTCATCTCCAGTAAGTAATTTAAAAAAAAATGAGAATGAAAATATGGAATATAGTCTATAGAATATATTTCATATTTTCATTTTTGAAGATAATTTGATCAAACCAGAAAATAATTAGTACTGCCCTATAAAGGGTTAATTTATAGACGCCTTTTGTTTAGCCTGCACCCTGTATACATATTTTGATTATCTTTGATATCATAGGAACTCATTGCACAATCATACGGATATATGCTAGAAAGTCACAGAGTTAGAACTGACGATGGGTACATTTTGACAACATACAGGGTGAGAAATATGATTGATAATTCTTATGGGAGCAAAGTTATATTTTTTCAACATGGTCTCATGCTCAATTCCAGGTCTTACATGAGCAATGGGAATAATTCTATAGGTAAGTCAGATAGTAATAAACTAGTATATAAAGTATGATCGAAAAAAAAACGGCGTCCAGTTGGCTTCGATATACGACGATCGATGACAATCCCCGTAAAATTTTACATATAAAATGACAGCGTTCTTCATTTCCAAGCCATCTGTGACGCCGTTATTTTTTACAATCGTATGGTACTTTAAGTAGTGAACTGTTCAGTGGCTAAAAATGTCCTATACAGGGTGATTCAAAAAGCATATGCTATCTTTTTTGGGGAGATTCCCCACGAAAAGCAACTTAATTTTAATTAAAAATACTTTGTAACGTGATGATAAGAGAATCAGCAAAACATTTTAAGATTTATTCCTTTATTTTAGTTGAAAGTAACTATAAAAAGTATTAGAATGTATTAAAAAATATGTACAGTGTGTTTTTCTAGAATTATTAGTAATCCCACTAATATTTTATTAATTACTTTTTGTAATTTACTGTGTAGGAAATTAAAATAACTGTGAACTAATAAACACACTTCAGAATGGGAGTAACGTAGGACATGGCAACAATTTAAAGGAGAGTTAAGGAGAGTTTTTTTTTTAATTTCTAGGAAAAGTAAAGAAAAAAAACTAACCTACTTGCATATATTTAATAGATACTCTGTAGAATAACATATATGTATGTTTTAGTTTTCTACTTTACCAAACACGGCTACGATGTGTGGATGGGAAATTTTAGAGACGCTGAGTTCTGTTCCCACGAGGCCATTTCCAGAAATAATCCAAAATATTGGGATTTTAGGTTAAATTTTCTAAATCAATTTTTCATTGGTATCTTATTAATTAGATATACTTTTTATATACCATATGGGAATGGAGAATGACAATGTATGATAATTTTGGCGAAAAACTGACATAAAACTTTTGCCAGAACTGATTAAAAAAAGGACAGAACGTTTCCAGAGATACAAATCTATTTGCAGAAAAATATTTTTTTCTGGAAATTATCATCGATTGTTATTCCTCTGTGACGTGGTTTTTCTTTTCGATCGTATGGGACTAAAATATCTGTTTTTTTCTCTATAGTTTTCACGAAAATGCCTTGTATGATCTACCAGCAAACTTCAAGTATATCTATAATATGACGGGTAAGAAAATGACGTACGTTGGACATTCCATGGGTGGTACTACCATGATGATATACGGGGCACTTAGAGGAGAAGATGCTGAGAAATATATAAAAAATGCCCTTCTACTGAGCCCAGCCGTTTATATCAAATATCCGTATATTCCCACACTGATTGGTCTAATAGTTTTGGTAATTTATGATGAAGTTCTTGAATTGTTGTGTTTAGATATTTTAAATATTTTTTTCCATAGCTAGTGTTAAAATTGTCTTATATCTATCAAAAATAGTAGATAAAATAGTACTTTAATCGCAATATTTTTTCTACTCGTAATCTCTCTCTTCAGTCCTGACCCCCATTAGGGAGTGTAGTGTAACATCATGGATGATTTTTCTCCATGCGCCTCTGTCTTTTGTCATCTCGATGACATCGTGCATTGGCTTGCTATCCATCGAGTTGGAGAGCGGCCACGTGGTCTACGTCTCTCCACCTTGCCTTGAATTATGAGTCTTTCCATATTGTCCGGACTTTTCCTCATTATATGTCCAAAATATTTTAGTTGTTTTAGTCGGATTTTGCAGGAAAGCCTGTTAGTAATATTAAGTTCATTTATAATGGAAACGTTTGTACGGCGCTTCAGTCCATGGGATACGTCTATAGAATTTAGAATAAGTGGGAGGGGGGTTAATCTCTGCGACCTTAGAGATCTATTGTGTCCCCATTTCTTGAGTTATAACTCATCATACAGTCCCAGGACTTCCTACGGAGACCCGTGTCCTTCACAGTCGAGGAGCTACGACCCAGGCCGGGTAGACGAAACGGTAGCTTGTGTCGCCTGTTGGGTTTAGAGATAGGAGGTAGGCTCCCGACCCTTGGAGGAGGTGGTAGCTTGCGGAGGATGGTCTCACGCAAGTGTCAGCCACCTCTCCTGTAGTTCTCTTTGGGTTTGGCCCCTTGGAACTTTCATTGTTACTGTTCCCAATGTCGCTAGGGGGTTTCCCCACAGCTTCACCGGTGATGTTTTTATTACTATTATTACCAGATCTCATAGTGTTCCTATGAGTCGCTAGGGGACAGTCGGTCCACTTCTACAGAGCCCCTGCATATAGAAGTAAGGGGTAAAATACAATGGGTGCCCCCGGTGCCCTGCTGTTGAGGCTGTCCGTAGCCCCGCCCGGTGTCGTTATATGTCTTGGTGCAATTCCCCAGCCACGACACTACAGTCAGGGACAAGACGATGAGTGAGATGCTTCTTAGACCAAGCCAAGTGCTAGAGGGGATTCCCCCCAGCACCTGACCAAGAGCTTCCCCACCAACGACAAGGTCTTGCATCTCCTAGGGGAAGTGCATCTCCTAGGGGATACGTCTATAACAATACATCGTGGTAGCATCGCTCTTCTTACGTTCCGCCTGCCTGAGAGTCCACGATTCGCAGCCATACGTCAATATTGGGAGTACCAAACAGTTGACTAGCCGGTTTTTGGTGGCTCTTGAAATCTGGCGGTCTTTCCAGATCTTGGTCAGTCTCCCAACAGCTACCTTTGCCATGTTGCACCTACGCTTCACCTCTTCTTCCGATGTGCCTGTATTTGTCAATAGTGATCCCAGGTATACGTATGACTTAACGACTTCAAAGCGGTCGATATGACTTATATTTGGATGGTTGTTATGTTGCCTATCAACTCTCATGATTTTGGTTTTTGCGTATTTAGTTCCAGACCGAGCCGATTGCTTTCGTTTTCTACCCTATTTACTAAATTGATTAACTCTTCTTGACTGCTAGCGAGTAGTGCTGTATCATCTGCAAAGCGTAGATTATTTATTTTTTGGCCATTTATTGAAATGCCCCCTTCCCATGTTTCTAGCGACCTTCTCATTATGTATTCTCCGTATATGTTAAATAGTTGAGGAGACAATATACACCCCTGTCTGACTCCTTGTTCGAGGGAAAATTCCTTTGAAGCTGAATCCAGTATTCTAACCGATCCTGTGGTGTGCTGATACAACTGGTTGATAATACCCCCACTTCCTGTAAGATTTTCCACAGGTGATGCCATCTGACTTTATCGGTCTACGAAACAAATATAAAGAGGGATGTTGAATTCCCTTGCTTTCTCTATGATTTAGCGCATATTCAAAAGATGTTCCCGAGGGCCTCTGCCCTTGGTGAAACCTGCTTGTTCTGCTGGAATTTCTCTGTTCTGCTGAAATTTCTCTCTCTACTCGTAATAAATTCCTTGAAATAATAATTTCTGAATATTTTTTAAAACGTAACTCGCTATGGAAAAAATATTGTTTTATACACGACGATAAAATTATTGCGTTATATTAATTCACTCGAGATTTTATCGGTCGTGAATTAATCTTTTCGGTCAACGATAAAATGCCATTTTATCGTCTTGTATAAAAAATAACTATTATTCGCTATTATTTATTTCAGAATCTAGTTAGGTGGGCTGGAATTGGTGTTTTGCTCTCATCATCCAGACTTTCATTCCAAATCCAAATAGCTTTTTGTATGCATTCTATTACTACTCTTAAATTATGTTTGAGAACTGTTGAATTTTTATTTGGGCCCTCGAAATATCGAGTAGAACCCGTAAGTCTCTTCATTATTTTTTTCAATAGATAAAGTAGTTGATTATACAGTTTTTATCCATTTTTTTAAGCTGGGGGCTAGCTCATATACTAAAAGCTGGCAAAGGTTAGTCTTGGGTCGAGATTTCCGTATGTGAGAACAGTACAATGGGCGTTTATAATGTACTGAACAAAGAGAGAACGGTAAACACGTTGCCAAACGTATGAAATAAACCGAGAAACTCTTCACATTACTAAAAGACGTGGAAGAGAATAGAGAAAAATTCTAGGGAAGAGAAATAAAATGATAATTAATTCTTACGTCTCGTTATACTTTAATTGTTTATTTATTTTATTAACGAGTCGTTGTATTTTTCCCTATAGTTTGTAAATTTTTAAGTGCAAGTTAGACAAACTTACACTCTTTGTAAAAATAAGTGGAATTGAATTGATGTTGGACAGTGATCGCGCTATTCGAACTCTGAATTTAAAAATTGATATCTCGAAATGCATTAGAGATAATTGATTGTAGTTTTTTTCAAATACTTTCTTAATATTTCTACTATATTTTCTTCACAGACAGTATGTGAAAATCTTTATAAATAAAAAAGTTACACGATTGCTGAAAATTGCAGTGCATTAAAAAAAAGTAAATGGATGTTTTTTTTTTAATTTTTGAATGAAAAAAAACAAGTCTATCGAATTTTTCTTATTTAAACATCTTGTAAAAGTTTCGAACTTCAAAATAAAAAAAAAAAGTTTCAATATCTAATGTGGTTCTTGAGTTATCGCGTGTGATGTGATAAAAAGTTTTTAAATTATCGCGATTACTGACGTTTTCTCGTTATAAAAAATAGATGCTCAGAAACATATCTAATGATTTTATCTAGGTATCTTTTAGAAAAAAAAAATCTTTTAAAAACGTGATTATATATTACTTGATAGGGAAAGGCGTACCGGAGATATATGGCAACGCCGCAACAAGACACCGTCGCATTTCTCTCAGTCCAACTTAGTAAGATCCCTATGCGATTTACTTCCACACATGTAAATACCGACCCAAAGAAATGAGTTGCCAGCAAGGTACGAGCCCTAACAACTATATGTTGGAACAAGGCCTTTTTTGCAATAAAAGTAGTAATTTTTGTTAAAACGACTCAATTTATTTTGTTTATTATTTTAAATTCAAATATTACAATATGATCTAGACAATTTTACTATATTTTTATAACTTTGCAGACAAATCACTTTTGATAATAGCTTATTTTGCCAAAATCAAGCCAAATTTGCTGACAACTATACATTGGGACAACATAACAAGAAATTTGTTTAATACGGAGTTATATCACCTTTCGCCTTAACAACTGCCTGACTCTTAATGGCATTGTATTTACCAAAGATTGGCACATTTGAGGAGAAAAATTATCCCAAATTTCCTGCAGTTTTGTCCGCAAATCAAAAATTGTTCGTTGAAGGTGGTTTCTTAAATATTGCTTCATCTTAAGCGACACAGTTTCTATAACATTGAGGTCCGGACTACTTGCAGGATGGGATAGAACTTTTATATTATTATTACCGAACCAATTTTTAGTTGATTTTGCTGAATGGCACGATGTTCCATCTTGTTGGAAAATATAGTCTTGGTTTGGAAACAATTCTTGAGCACTAGGAAAAGTGAGGTCTCAAGTGTATGTTAATATTTTTGGGCGTTAACAGTGCCATCTATAAAATTTAATTTGCCCAAACCTCTTGCTGACATGCAACCCTAAACCATAATCCCGTTAGGAAATTTAACAACCCTCTTTAAGCAATCTTTATGAAAGGCTTCTACTTTATTTCGTATTATTCGTTTTCGATGATCTCCAACACAAACATCAAATTTAGACTCATCGCTAAATATGACCTTATTCCAATCATTTTGTGTTCACGATAATTTAGATTTTGCCCAATTGTAATTATTTTTCTTTTGAATTTCTGTCAGTAGCGGTTTTTCTTTGGCCTAAATAAGAATTTGTATCAATAATCTTCAGGTAATTGATTATCCACACAAAATAAAGTTTACCTTGTAAAACCCCAGACCGCATTTATGGATATATTTTCGGCAACATTCTCTTGATATATTTAAACCAGTTACAGTATTCCATTTAACTGTTACTTCGCGAAGAGTACTTCTTCTCGCAGACTTGCAAATTTTTACTAAATTTCGTAAATCTCTCTGAGATACAACTTTTGGCCTTCCCGAACTTTTACCTCTAACGTCTACATTGGCAGATTCGCCGTAATTTTTTTTATTATATTAAAGACCGTGGTTTTTGGAATACTACTTTCGAATTGTTTTTCCCGTACTGTATTGACGAATGATAATTTCGGGTAGTTTTTGATTTGTTGCTTTTCCACGGATCATTACATTGAATTAAATAATTAACAAAAATTGAACATTAAAAAATTAAAATTACTTTACAGTAAATCTCACTACTCAAAGTATCGAGTCACTTACAAGCTGTCAATGCCGAAGTAAACAGTTTGCGACATTTGTGACGTTTATAGCAAAGCCGCCTATGATGATATTAATTATTTAAAAATACTTGTCCCAACATTTAGTTGTCAGCAAATTTGTCCTTTTATGAACAAAAAACTGCTACTGTAAATATGGATTGATTTACAAATTCATAAAAATATTGTCAAGTTGTTTAGGATATATGGCTATTTTTATATTTAAAAAATTAAACATATATTTTTCAGTCATTTTGAAAAACCAGGGCAATAATTCCAAAATATGACCTTGTCCCAACATGTAGTTGTTAGGGCTCTTATATGATTAGAATTATTTAAATACTTTGGTTTCATTCATATTAATTCAATTCAAATGCGGGCTAGCCATCAAATTGATACATAAATAAATATTATAATATACTGTATTATCTTTTGAAGCCCAACGTTCCATACATGATGAGACTACTGAACAACGCATGCGTGAAATCTCTGATACATTATGCTCAGCAAGTGTTATATGAAGACTTTACCAAGTTTGATTATGGCCCAACCAAGAACCTTCAACTCTATGGTACCGTACAACCTCCTGCTTACGATTTGTACAATATCAGCGTACCTATAACACTACTACATGGTGCAAATGATTACATAGCTACCAGACAGGTACCCAAATTATACAGGGTGTCTTCTAAATAGGTGCAAAATATAATTAAAAATTTCAATGTTAAATAGCTTGGTTATTTTCAATTTATTTTAAAAATGGTGAATAGAAAATATGTTTCTATTTTCAATATCTACACTTAAAATAGTTGCATTTATTTGAAAGACGCTGTGTATATATCAGAAAATTAAGTAAATATAGAGTGACTTAAAGAGAAAAAACATATTTTTTTTAATTATTTTAGGATACATTTTTAAAGCGATACAAAAACATTACAACCGGTGACTGGCACATATTTGACATGCCATACAATCATGTTTATTATTTATTAAATAAGGATGCCGTCAATATACTGTACCCATTCATGTTAAAAGAAATCAGTCAACATGTTTGACATTAATTGGATATTAATACCGTTGACTGAAAGAATAATTGGGAAGATATGCAACCTACTGGGTGAATTCCTGACAAGGCTGATTTGATTTCCCCTTACGTCTCATATGATGTACGGTGGAGACACCAATCGTTCTGCGATCAACTCAAAAAATACTTATTTTCTCTAATTCGGCCAGCGAAGGCATATGTAGGCGTTTATGTATTGAAAATCTATTCGTGTTAAAAATTCGTTTGCTTGGAAATATCGATTATTGACATTTACCATAATATTTTACATTTGAAATAACGGCGATCTTAATTTGCAAGCCAACTCTGGCGCCATTCTTTGTTTAATCATATAATATTATATTAAATTGTTTAATGATAAAAAATCCGTCTTATTAACGTACTGTACCCAAAATCCGCAAATCTACGGATTAATCAGTAGTTCTGGCAACACTGTCTCCGGCAACCACTTACTCTGCCGACTGAAAACAGAACTACGGTCTGCTACGGTACCACAAATTACCTATAACAGATGCGAAAGAAAGCGACTGTATCGGAAACCGCTCGGCAAACCCGACACGCCTATTGAGTGGTGTAAATACATCAGTCGTTTAGTCCGGAAACCTATGCTGTGTCGTATTCAACTCAAAATGCCTTTAATTATGTTTGACTACATCGTTAAAATATTTGATATTTGTTTTATATTCAGATATTTGTCTAAAATTTGCAAAAGAATCCGAATCTCTGGATAACTCGAAATTATTTACCCATTTAAAAGCCTTTGATCATGAAAGTGGAAAAATTTGTTCGTTTTATTTACAGGCTGGAAAAAGTATTTATATTAAATTTTGATGAGTTTTACACTGAAGAAAACATTCAGAGGCTGTTTGATATAATGAAAACTATAGAATTTGACCACCCATGAAGAAATTTCCTCTCATTTACATCATTAAATTATTTATTAGATTGAAAATATTTTATGCATTAAAGTTTACAAAAAATAAAGATTTATATAGTCGAAAAAAGTCCGATAGAACCAATAGAAATGTAACTGTTTTGTCACATCTTTAATTAAATTTTGTTAAATAAATTAATTTTTTATACTATAAATATCTTTTTTTTTCTAATCTCCTACGAGCTGATATAATATGACGAGCAATCTATTAAATTACTGTGAGATTATACAGAAAAGTCCACAGACTTCGAGACATAGGAAAATCAAGTCCATTTAGCGTTTGTTCAAATTTTGACAAGTGTTCAAAAATGACAGTTTTGTTTAGACTGACGTTTAATTTCACCTGACTTCTGGGTTAATGATTTCTTTTTATGGGGGTACATACAATCTAAAATTTACGGTCATGAAGAAATTCAAAACTTGGAGCAGTTAAGGCAGAAAATATTTAATGCCTTTGACACTGTCACCCCTGATATGTTATCCAATGTGAGGAGGGGATTTTATGATCGTTTGGGTTATTGTTTAATGCAAGAGGGAGGCACTTTTGAACAATTTTTGTAATTTTTTAAATTTCATTATCCTGTTTTTTTACGGTTTACCCATTACCTACCTTGACGAACATGGGAAAACGAAGGTCCTTTTCAGGACCACAAATATTTTGATTGAGAAAATTGGTAACTTTTTTTGGATTAAAAACAAAAGTTGTTAATATAATACCAATTTAAAAGTGTTTTGGTAGTTTTAATACACACTATGATATAAAATTTATTATTATTATAATGTACATTATTAATACTATTGTTCATTCGAAATGGCATTAAGGCCCAATTGCAACAATGATTTAAATTTTTCTTAAAGATAAGTAGAGCTTAGAATGGGCTGTATTTATATTTACTTTAATATTCACCTTAAATGAGGGAATTTGACTGATACAATTTTTGAATTTGAATTGTTTTTAATGATATTAACAATTTTAGTTCAATTTTTAATAAAATTTATTTAATATTAATAGAAATCCAAGGGATTTGAAACCTCTTTTAGCGATTTATAACATTCTCAAATGAATTACAGGTGCCCTTATTTTGAATGAAAATCACACAGCTTTTTTCATAGTCGCTGCAGTTGCTATAGCTATAAAAAACTAATTTTTTAAGGTGTGAAAATTGCGACACACGCTAAATAGACTTGATTTTTCGTATGTCTCGAAGTCTGTGGACCTTTTTGTATGCCTCGATAACATATTGGTGCAGATTATTTTCACCCAAACAAATAATAACCCAAACTATACATTGATGCGGATTGTCTATGAACTCTTTCTGAAGGTCACAGAAACCTGAACGCGTAATTCGGTGTTCTTTCGCATCTGTTATAGGAAATTTGTGATGGTACAGTATTCTTTATTCGCTGCGCTGTAAACGACGATCAGCGCGCAGCGACGCAGAGCTACACTCAATCCCGGACATGTTTTATGCCACTAAAGCACCCATAAGGTTGCGCATCTTCTTATTGATTAAAATAAAACATTTATGTTGTTATACATACATCAATACTATAATTTGTGAAAAATAAAAGTAGGTTTCAAACAAAAATTAAGTGTTTTAATACGATACGATCGAATACAAAAAGTAGATAACGTCTAGGGCTTGACCTCGCCAAGATTATCATTGATTGCCATTTCACAGCCGCTTTGACGCGGTTTTTTTTCTCGATCGTATGGTATATTAAGCGAACGTCCCAATTTGCACAAAATAATGTAAAAATGTTATTTTTAGGAATGCCATACAGATTTTTTTTTGTTATTATTAGTTCTAAAAATATAAGATAATTACTTCTAGTTGAACAGCAGGTGTCAATTCGGATTAGTTACATGGCTGCCCAATGTTTGCTGCCAATTAATCCCACTTTTAGAGGAAGGTCATATAAATGAATTTTCTAGTTAATTTAAGCCTATTTCGGTGGTAGCCAGTTATAATTGAGAGTAATTACTGTTTTCGATTACAAAATTGCATGAAAATCATGCAAATTTTCTAAGGGCAAATTTTTTTCGCTTTTTGATATATACAGGGTTGTTCACCACATACGACACGGAGTATTGTAGCTAAACGATTAGATTTTTACAAATTATAAGTTTTGGGTTCGTTGAAGGACTATTAGAGCTACAATTTAGAAATAATTTTACAAGATCCAGAGTGTCCCAAATAAGTAAAAAATGCTATAGTTGTATTTTTTTAAATGGAACACCCTGTACGTTATTCTATTTTTAGATTCTACGATTGAAATAAAGGTAAATTTTATTAAGGTTTATCACACTTAAACCTTACCGTTTTTGAAATATTTTCAATTTTGTAAAATTGCAGTAAAAATTTTAAGGCTTCATTTCTCCAAGGGTATCAAAGTTTTTAATACTAAATATTTACTGAAGTTTATTTATTGATCAGTTATTGTGTTGCAATAATAAAAATTATACTACCTTATACAGAGTGTCTAAAATTTTATTTTAAATAATTACTAGCTTTAAACGGCAATAACTTGTTTAATTTAAATGGAACACCCTGTATACTTTAGGAGAATCAAAATCCAACAGGGTGAAACCATCTTTCAATATTTTTTACTTAAAAAACAGTGAGTTTTTCGGAAAAACTCTTAAACACGTATATTTTATTTTGTTGTTTTACATACTTTAAGATTTTTTAAAAATTTATACAGGATGTTTCACAAAATATGACCGTTGAGTAATCACGATTCTGCTTAAACTGCTTGACGTTTAAAGCTGATTTTTGGTAAACGGATTGACTGTGGGGTGTAGAGGTTCGATAAGAGGGGTTTCTCGAATCTCAAATTCCAAGAGGGTGAAAACGCCCCTCAAATATTACAATATTTGTTATTTAAAAAACGGTTAGTCTTTCGGGAAAACGCTTGTTTTTTTACATATTTTGAAATTTTTTAAAAAATCATATGGGGTGTTCCAAAAAGTTGGGTAATTGATTAACCACGATTCTGCTTAAACTGCTTGACATAAAAAGTTTATTTTTGGCAAACGGATTGTTCGAAAGTCAAATTTCAACGAGATGAAACTACCCCTCAAATATTACCAAGTTATATAATAATATCGCCATATTGTTTTTCTCATGCTGACATAAATGTGAGAAAATTTTATCCAGTTTGTATGTTAATGGAAATTCTTGCTTTGCTTTATTATCACCATTACAAATTATTAATTCGACGCGAACGGAGTCGCGGGTACACGCTAGTATAATTATAAACTTGTACAGGGTGATCCATTATACATGTGCCATCTCTCGTGGAGAGATTCCTCACGTAAAAATAAGATTTATTCTTCATATGAACCTATGTCCACGTGTTTTTTGAAACACCCTGTATATAGTCTTGGTCTAACAATCTTGGTATTAAGCGTAAAAACGAGAAACCCCTGTGTTGCAAACCTTTAATTTGCAACAGGATTAATTGTTTTGCAGAAGAATATATTGTTCTGTGGCTTTATTAGAATGTAAGAGACAAAATTCTCTGATTTCTGTTTAACTATTCGGTCTATGAGGCGCATGTTCGCAAACTTTTTCGCGCCTACTGCGAATAGAAGACGCCGTTAGGCGTCGCGACGCTAGTTTAGTCGCTAAACCGACGCCACCGACGCCGATCTGCCGATGAGCGTCGCGACGGTCTTACGTAGCTCTCGCGTTTTCAAATGAAGAGCACTCTGCAACTTGAATGAACTGAATAAATTTATAAAAATTAGTAAATATTTTTTTAGAGTTAATTGTTATGTGGTGGTTTTGATCGCAATCAAGAATATCTTGCTGTACTCGAAATTGTAAGTTTTTTTATTATATATTTAATATTATATTTATTTTTTTAAAGTGAATTTTTCAAAGGTTTCTATAAAAGAATTATATAGAGTTGGCATTTATTTTGTCTTGTTCCAAATTTATCAGATTTTATGAGATTTTTTTTATGTCTTTACATAGAACATTTATTAAAAAAAAACAAATAAAAATACAGTATGATCGAAAAAAAAACGGCGTCCAGTTGGCTTGGAAATGACGATCGATGATATTTCCCATGTAATTTTACATACAAAATGACATCTTCATTTCATAGCCATCGCTGACGCCGTTTTTATTCGATCATACGGTACTCGCACTTAATAAAGATCTACCCAGATCAAATCATGTAAATGAAAATATTTAGGAAAATCTTTTTTTGAGTAGTATTTCGAAGAGACGTGAATTCTCCATTGAATATCGGAATAATATACTGGGTAATCCATTTAAAATAACAGAGTAACATGCTTTTAAAGGTGACCAATGTTCAATATTAATTTTCTCTCACCCTGTATAATTTTTTGGATCAAGTTTTAATTTGATTTAAGGTACAATAGTTAATTTAACTACATATTAGGCTATACCGGGTAAATTCCAGTTTAGGTAGCTATT